TCCTGGGTTCTACAACATTCGTACTGTCATTTCATCTCCCGTTGTCGTATTGTTAAACGCTAAAAATGCTCAAAACTGCCTCGGGGATAAATCAACGACATTCCTTTATGTTCAGTTCGTGCAACAACTTTCCATATGTCAACACTGCATTGTGGAGAGTAACTCTGCCTCCCTTCCTCCACACAGCCCCCACCCCATTTGAAGGAAGTCTGCAATGTTATCTTTATTTTGTTCCCCAAGAGTGTCTGAAGAGGTTCTTCTACTGCACACAGTAGGATTGAAACAAAGTGCTACTGAGTCATAATCTTCTGGAAGCAATCCAGCAGCCTCTTTGACATTGGATTTCTGGCAATTTGCACTGATTGTGTGATGATTTCCTGGCTTGTGCACTGTAAACGGCCCGGCAATAAAAAGTCGGCACTAAATTGCTCAAGGTCGACCACCGAGATGACGTCAACCTAAATGGAGGAAACAAGTTATTTTATTTAAGATTTCATTGTGTGCAAGTGAGCGTTTTTAAGACAAACGGATATACAGCAACAACAACTTGCATTTATATAGCACCCTTCACGTGGGGTAGCGTCCCAGAGAACTTGAGATATAGATATACATCCATGTTCTAAAAGGTCAACTTAAATAGGATTGGTAGCCAATCAAAAAGTGCTATCGTTGGTTTGGTTGTGAGCAGAACATGGAGTGTGTCGAGCTTTGGGCAGTGATTCTGTAGCTGGACGGGGTTGGCTAAGAATCTGGTGCGGAGGTGGGTACCCAACTCCTTTTCAAAATCGATCTGCTAAAAAGAAGTATCCTTTTTCTATCTTTGTTTTAAAATCCTTGGTCTTTCTGTCACTTTCTTTAATATCCTCTTTGCCTATTCCTGGTGATTTTTGAGTGGATTTGTTTAAAGCAGCAAAATCTTTGGAAGAGTAGGTTGGGCGCTGGTGAATGATGATTGCCAGATGGCCATTAACCTGGGATATCCTGGTGACCATTGACATTTCTGCTATTTCATCTATATCCCAGGCTCCGTCGATTCTTCATATTAATTCCCCATCATGCCATTGACGCTCAGTTTAAACCAAAATATTGCTAGATTTTTAAAAACCTTTAACTGTAAATGTGACCAAGATTTAAAAATAATAATAATCCTTGTATTTGAGATAGCACCTTATCACTATCTTCAAGCCCTCTCAAATTGCTTCACAGAATATACTATAAATAATAATAGTAATAATAATCCTTGCATTTGATATAGCGCCTTATCACGTCTTTGAGACGTCTCAAAGCGCTTCACAGAATATACCGTAAAGTGAATTGACTGTATATTTTGTGGGCGAAATGCGAAACACAACTCGAAACACCTTTGGCTCATTTCATTCTGTCCTTTCGCAACTGCAACCTGACTGTCTTCCCTTCACAGCATCAAGCTGTTTATTAAACCAGTTCAGTGCTTGACCTCAGTCAAAAGTCCTCAGAACAGCTGTTGATTTGTTGACGTAACAAAATCCTTTCATATACAGGGTGACAAACAATTTGTGATACCATTACAATGTCTACCAAGTCTTAATGAAATGATTTATTTTTAGATATACTGTAAAGTATATCACAACCTTTTGGTCACTCTGTACATGAGGTAAACAGTTTTAAAATGATAACTGAGAGGTTTAGAAGGGAAATTAGGGGAGGACCTGTTCCACAGAGAGAGTGGTGGGAGTGTGGAATTCTCTGCCAAAGTCATTTGTTGGGACGGCTACCATGTGCATATTCAAAATAGACTGAACACGCAATTAAGTGAGAATAAAGTTGAGGGATATCTAGTCCCAAGAATTATCTCACTAGCAGTGACCAGAGACTCTACTGCAGTGTCCTGACATGACTTTGCCTTCATCTTTTATGCTTATAACTAACATGTATTGAATCGATGTGTGTTTGCATTCTCTACCATTTTGGTAGACTTCCAGCAGATGTAATTAGCCCAGGAGTCCCAAGCGGAGAAAGCCTATTTTGGGAATACAAACATACTTTATTTGTGTGTGATGTGGAACGTGGAGGATTGCTTTGCTGTTGTTCAGAGAATTATACAGCACAGAAGGAGGCCATTCGGCCCATCGTGTCTGTGCCAGCATTGATGGAGAAGTCGATGTAAGATGAAGGATTGAGAGGCCGTGCCCTGTAAATGAGCAGTGCTGCTTTAGTCGTGGGTTATGAATGGGTCACTGAGTGTGATTAGCTACGAGGGCAGGAAGAAACTTGTCATCTTATTTGACCTCTGCTCTTTCATGTGCTGCACTGATTTAATACACAGCAGGACTCACTTCAGATGTTTCTTTGCAATATCTCAGAGACCGTTGGGGAATCATCCGGAAAATATATAATAACATATATAATAATCCTTGCATTTGATATAGCTTATCATTTTCTTGAGACGTCTAAAAGCGCTTAGAGAATATATTGTAAAGTGGATTGATTGTGTGTTGTGTGGGCGAACTGTGGCAGCGAATTACAAACAGCAGTTTCCCGCAAAGAGTTGTGGATTGAGTGACCAAAGATTTATTTATTACCCCCGGAAAGCAATCAGGTTCCTACTTGCTGCTAGGCAAATAGAGGCGTGTGGAATAAGACGTTGTGCCTTAGGTTTCACCCTACCCGGGTCCTCTTGCTTGCGTGGTGAGCGCACTAACCTATGGGACCACACAATATGTATTTTCTTGACCCACAGGAACACTGTGAAAATGCCACTGAAGTTCTCTGATATACTCAAATAGCAGAAGTGCTGATCAATGTGCAACTGATTCCTGTAAATCAACAGTGTTTCACGTTTGAGTTTCCTGATTTCAGCTGGGTGGCTACAGTAGTATAAGAAGATACTTCCTTGCTCTCCCAGTTGGGGAGGGGGAAGCAACAACAACAACTTGCATTGTTATAGTACCCTTCAAGCAGGGTAGTGTCGCAGAGTACTTGACAGGCACAAGGCCAAGCCGGGGGAGATGGGGAGTTGACCGTATAGGAATGGGAAGGTCTTCAGGTGCCCCTCAAGCAAGGTAGTGTCCCAGAGCATTGACAGTGACAACTTATAATACTGTGCAAACTTCACTGTAACAAAGCTGTGCTGTAACAGTTGGGGATGAGATTATTGCTATTTAGTGATCATGTGGCAGACGTCAGAGAGAGCATCTGCCAGAGTCACTGCACACACCGCCATCCACTCAAAAACAAGCAGTTTATCCTTGGGCACTACATCCCTCATGCAGCATTCTTGAGTTTTCTCTGTACCTTCCTCTCCACTTTGTTTTTCTACGATGCATTAAACTCAGTGACTAGAGAAACAAACACCAAATGGATCTCAACGTGGGAAGGCTGGCATTTTTATTTCAGGAGTGTTGAAGGAGAAATCTTTCTTAACTCGACCGTGATTTTGTCACCCAAAATTTCATAGCATTAGGTGCAAGCAACAACAACAACTTGCATTTATATAGCACCCTTCATGCAGAGTAGAGTGCCCGGAGTGTCTTAGATACAAGCTTGGCACCTTCTAAGATACGAGGATCAGATTGTGTTTTTTAAAAACACTGGCGTAACTCAGAAGTGACAGTGGGAATCCAAATATACAGCTCCCTGTACTGTTCAGTTCCAAGATGACAGCCCTGATAAGAGGTCAGCAGCTTTTCCAGTGTGTCTAATTTTTTTTAAATTAAGTAAGCCATTCATAATGGCCCAGAAGTTCAACTCTGCCCAAGGTGCAACTGAGCCACACAGGTTCAGGAAGGTTTCCAGATTAAATCACCGTCTGTGTTGAGTTAGCTGTGTGGACGTGAGGTAAGGAGAGAGCTGAAATCCCTATGTCTATTATTAGCTCTATGGGTCTGATGTGAAAATGATCATTTGGGCAAGCCACTGGAACGTGGTCGGTGGCCTTGAAACCTTGCCCTAGCGTGAGGTTGCACATTCCAGAGAAATACTGTGTTTGAATAAATCCTTACTACCGGAATACATATCTCAATGAATGGTGATGATCTATACCATGGGAATAGATGCTGCTGTTCAAAACAGTATAATTACCGAGTAGTATAGAAATACTGCTGCATGATATATAACCAATATAAGAACTGACAGAGGTGCACCGGTAATTATAATGTAACCATGCTAATGACACGTTACACCCACAAAATATACAGTCAATTCACTTTACAGTATATTCTGTGAAGTGTTTTGAGACGTCCCTACGAAGTGATTATGGCACTGGATCAAATGCAAGGATATTATATTATAATCAACCTTTTTGGCATCTTAATTGTCTCTGGTCTTCCAAGTGACATTTCACCCACTTTTGTTTTGGCTTTTGCAAAGTTTTTAGTCCTTCTGACAATAATTAAACTCCAGCAATACCCCCGTCACATCCCCTGGAGTCTAGAATCCTTGAATTGCAGAATAATAATCTCTGGGGTTAGGTAAAGCAGCGAGCATCCCTCTATAGAGAGAGAATTTTATTCCAGACATAGGGACATTTCCTTATGTCGGTGGCATTCATGTGTGGAAACTGTCTGGTTTGGATAATCAAGCATGGTGTTGAGTTTCCACATTGTAGCAAGCACCCAAAAAAAATGAGTAGTTACCAGAACAATATGAAATGTGTGACAGTAAATACCAGTGCACAATAATAATAATAATCCTTGCATTTGATACAACACCTTATCACATCTTTGAGACGTCTCAAAGAGCTTCATAGAATATACCGTGAAGTGGATCGACTGTGTATTTTGTGGTCGAAACGCGGCAGTCAATTGCGCACAGCAGTGATGATAATAACGATAATTCTAATAAATAATAATAATCGTTGCATTTGATATAGTGCCTGATCAGGTCTTCGAGACGTCACAAAGCGCTTCACAGACTATACTGTGAATTGAATTAACTGTATATTCTGTGGGCAAAACTCTTTCCTGTACAAACTTCAGTTGCGATACCAGTTGAAACCCCTTCATTTGTTTTATTATAATCAGGTATTCTATCCAGATGCACCTGAAGCAGATGTCCAGGCAGAGGGACTTCCCTTCAACATTTTCTCTAACCTACACAAGCTGGAGGACGAAGAGAAGGAGCAGGAGGAGGACGAGCAGCAGCAGAAGGGGAAGTACCATCAGAGCCTCCACCTACTGAAACCCTTTCGAACAACACACAAGTAAGTCAGGATGGTCCAACCTTTTGGCTGCTGAGGGCCGGATGCCCTATTTGAGAAATGTCCACAGGCCACATAAGCAATATTTCTGTGTTTCCCTTGCATAAGGTAACAGTTATGGGTTATGGAGGGAGCCGGGGGGGGGGGTGGGGGGAGGCAAATGAAATGGAAGGGATGGGTGAAATTGGCCCGTGGGTTGCGTGTGACCCACCGGCTACCAGTTGGACCACCCTGAAGTCAGTCAACATCCAAGAGCAAAGATTTGACTGAACCTTCAATTTCTCTTCTGTCTCTGTCTTATTATGTGAGACACTTGCTGCCTACCATATAGGGTCTGGTCTCCAGGGTCACATCTGATAGTGGAAACAAGAAAACTGAAGATATGGGCAGAAAACGTGGATAAAAAGCTATTTGTCTCGTCTGCTGATTTATTAAATTCATCTTCTGGTGCATTACAGCACAGGGGTTAAGCTCCCCAATATTCCTTGCTTTTTTATTGATATAGTGTCTTAAAATGCTGTTGAGTGTCTCAAAGCACTTCGCAGGATATACTGTAAAGTGGAGTGAATGTATTTTGTGGGCAAAACGTGGCAGCCAATTGCTCACAGCAGTGTCCCACTAACAGCCATGGAGTGAATGATGAATTTTATTTAGGGGGAATTTGTTGGTCAGGTCACCAGGAGACAGAAACTCCCTTCTCTTTTCGAATAGTGTCGTGGGATCTTTAACGCTTGAACCCACAGCCTTCTGAGCCAGGCTCACACAAAAGCTCAGTTGGTAAAGCCACTGCCTCGTATCAAACTGAGCCTTGCAGACCTCGGAGATCAGTATTGATTACTGGTCTGTGTTGAGCTGGCTGTTCTTGCTAGGGCAGCAGTTAGGGGCTTCAGTATTCCTGGGCTTTGCACAGAACAACAGGTAGAATCTTGATCACCTCCTCTGAATGCATGTTCTGGTGTGCATCTTAAATAAAGGCAGAATGGGCTTGACTACAATAGAAAAGCATGACAGCACTAATCTGGCCTCTTTCTCTGATTGCTAAAAACAGTCCCCTTTTTTTCAAATTACATCTTTATCAAGCGTTTAGCTATCAATGTAAGATAAAGGCTATGAGATTAAGAGCAGCTACTTGGGTGAATATAATAATAATTCAATAACTCTTGCATTTTGATGTATATTGCCTTTCATGTCGGGAAGATGTGTATTTTGTAGGCAAATGTGATATTTTTGAAGGCAAATGTGGCATTTGTGTGTGCTGGATTCATTGGTTCTGTGATTTCCACCTTAGGATGGTAGTTTTAGTTTTGTTCTGTTTCTTTCTCTTTCAGGCACAAACATCCTATAGACAACTCCGGCCTCTTATCTTTTATGACCCTGAACTGGCTTTCCCCTCTAGCATGGAAGGCGTACAAGAGTTCCCAGCTGGTAATGACCGATCTCTGGGGCTTGTCCTGCAACGAATCCTCTGAAGGAAATTCTCGGCGGTAAGAGATTTTGCAGCTTTAAAGCTATTCCTGTAAATCCCCTCCAGCTTCTCATTATGTCACTGAACTCTATGTTTAAAGGTGATTAGGATAAAAAACTAATCTATCTAGATAACTAGATGATTATTTGGGAAGGACAAGTTGGGGAGAGCGCAGGGGAGTGGGATTGATTTGAATAGCTCTTTTCAAAGAACCGGCAGAGAAATGATGGGCAGAATGGCTTCCTTCTGTACTGTATAATTCTATTCTATGGTTCTATGATTCATCCTCAGTCCTTCCTGTTATTGCGACAGTACTTTCTGATTGAGAAAGCTGTTTTTATTGCGGTGCACTAAAGAGGCTCGAGTTCTGTTCCCAATAAAACCCTGTTTGATCTTGCCTTTCGTCAACATCCTATCAAATTCCCCTCAACAAACCTGTGTCAGCTAAGCTCATTTAATACCACTTTGATTCCAAGACTGTGGGTTCAAGCCTCATATCAGGACTTTTAGTCCAGTCCTGCTAACCTATTCAGATGGACTTTTTAAAAAAAGATCTCACCACTTTTCAAAGAGAAAAGGGAGTTTCTCCCAATGTCCTGGCCAACAATCCTACAGATACATTTTACAGTCACATAAGGACTGTTGGTGGGATCTTGATGCTTTCATTTGACAGCGATCCAAAGTGGTTTGAGTTTTGATGTTGCAGATGTTGTATCAGATACAAGGATTATTATTTGTAAGCTCTTTGAAACTTCATTCTGTCTGTAAAGTGCAATATAAGTGCAAGTTGTTGATTTGGAAATGCATATTGTTGCCTTTATTTTTATGCCCTGACCAATAAATTCCCCCAAATAACACTGGTCGCTCACTCTTCTATCTGTGCTCAAACTGGGCTGTTGCTTTGCGCCCACAAAATATGCACTTTACAGTATATGTTGTGAAGTACTTTGAGATGTTGCAACGATGTGATAAAGTGCTATATCAAATGTATGTATGATTATTATGATCAGTTGAGTTTCTTGACATGTGTGAATCAATTTCTGTGCATGAGAGTAAACCATCCAAGTACTTCCGATGCGCCAGGTTGATTTGTCTGTCATCGGCAGCGCCCTGGAGTACTGTGTACCCGCCTGGCTCGGGAACCAGATGACCAAGACCACCACAAAAGATTGACTCCATTGTGATAGTCATTTACCAAGTACGTCACCATAGAGGTAGCTCAGTTCCAAGGGGAATCCTGTAGCTCAGTGGGTAGAACACTTACCTCGCAAGCGAGAGACCGAGATTTGATTCCCGGCCGGGCAAAACGTTGGAAAAGTTTCCTTACTCCAAACGCCTCTGTTTACCTAACAGTAAGTAGGAACCCGGTTGGCAGATCGCTTTTCCTGGGGTAATAATTCCGTCAAAAAAAAATCGCTCACTCAGTCCCCAAGGAAGTGAGAATAAGTTGATTGAAAGATCTGGGGCTGGTCATGTTTTATTACTGAGCTTGCAAATTAATTCCTTAAAAACACTAGAAGCTTGTTGGCAGCAGATGATAAGAAGTCATAGCAGCAAAAACCTTAGTACGTGATGTCTCAAGAAAAACAGCCTGTCTACAGCACTCTGTAAATAAAGGAAATATATTTGGCACAGGTCTGTCCTGTTAGACTGTTAAAGTTAATTATTTTTATGTAGATGCTCAAAAATGAGCTTAAACGTCCTTCACCAAAAATTGATATTTGAGTGCTTTGCCAATGACTCGGTTGATAAAACACATTATTATCCAGTATGACACTGTTCAGTACAAACCCACAAGGTCTTGGATCTGATCGCTGGCCTATATCCGCAGCTGTTCTGTGTTTAAGCGCTCCAAGATGCCACCTCATGTGAAGGCCGCATTATCAATCCAAGTTGTTGTTATTGGCAGCACATGACAGGAAACAACTGCAGCCAAAACCTCGGCACATGGCATCCGCAATAGAAATCTGTTTAACGCAGTCTGTAAGTAAAGGAAAAACAACATGCGGTGTTTTTCCGGGGGTAATAATTTCTTCCAAAAAAATAAAGAATAAATTGGCCACTTCAATCCACGACTGTTTGTGGGACACTGCTGTGGGCAATTGGCTTCCCAGTTTCGCCCACAAAATATACGGTCAATTCACTACAGTATATTCTGTGAAGGGCTTTGAGATGTCTCGAAGACGTGATAAGACGCAGACGCCATATCAAATGCAAGGATTATTATTATAACACTAACTTTATTCTATTAATTCATTCATGAAATCAGAATCTGATTGCGTTTCAAATTACCTTGAGATAACAGTACCTCCATTCAATGTTTGAGTGAATATGTTATGACGTGTGGATGGTAGCCAGGGAAGCATTGCTAATCTCAACATGGTCCCTGTGTAAGTGGATGAACATGGTGGGGGGAGAAAATATTATTTTCGTGGGTAGACACAATGATGCTGGAGCCAATATAGCAGCTGCTCTGGTTCCAGATTAACTCCTGTGAAAGGGAGTGAGTGTTTGTCAAATTATTTCTTTGGCTCTGGCTTTCTCGTTTCCCCAGCAGTGTTGAGAGCTTTGGATGTCTCAGTGACGCAAGCTGGTTATTAAGGCGAATATTTCAGGGTTTATATTGCAAGCACATTTGCCTTGATATTTATCACATCTTTACTATTTACTTCCTTGCAGCTGGATTTTGAATAGTCACTCTTGTGGTTTCTCGCTTGGTGTACTGTGGCTTTTTTGGATCATTTGCCCTTTTATGTGAAGGTCAAAGAACTCTTGAGATGACACCTCATCATCTGACAGAATGCAGCTCTCTCTTCCCCCCCCTCCTCTTCCCAGCCTGGAGCCTTCGAAATAGCTTTGCTCATAGTCGAATGTGCTCCAGCTGTTGTTTCCAGTACGTTAACTGGGATTTGTTCTTTTTCACACACAGATTTGAGAAGCTTTGGCAGGATGAATTGAAGCAACGTGGACAAGAGAAGGCCTCACTTGGGCACGTAGCGTGGCGTTTTTGCAGAACACGGGCACTCATTGCTATTAGTTGTCTGATGATTACAATGCTCGCTAACTTTGCTGGTCCTGTAAGTCTTTCTTTTGCTAAAACATTCGCAAAATGCCAGGGTAGTGGTTTGGTCTCTCAGCTCATGACTGTTTCTGCGCCTTGGGACGTCCTCCCGACGTGAAAGGCGCTCTGTAAATGTAATTTTGTTGTTGTTGTTTGTGGGACGCTGCTGTGCGCAATTGGGCTGCCCCGTTTCACCCACAAAATATACAGCCAATTCACTTTACAGTGTATTCTGAGAAGCGCTTTGAGACGCCTCAAAGACGTGACAGGGCGCTACGTCAAATGCAATGATTATTATTACTATGCGGTTTGCTTGAGATTGGTATGAAAGAGTTCAGCAACATTTGGACCTGAATGTGGGTATAATCCAGTGTTTAAGGCAAAAATCTCCTTCGGTTTTGACAGTAATATGTAGTGCAAAGGTAACTCATTCAACGAAATGAAGAAAATCTTAGTTTAGGGTTTCCGTTCACTATATAATCTAAACATAGTCCTTGTGTAACTGGATGAAGCACTTATTTTCATGGCTAGACACAATGATGCTGGAGTCAATATAGCAGCTGCTCTGGCTCCAGATTAACTCCTGTGAAATGGACTGAGTGTTTGTCAAATTGTCTCTGGCTCTGGCTGTTCTCATTTCCCCACCAGTGTTTGGAGCTTTGGATGTCTCAATGACCCAAGCTCCCAGAATTGCTCCCAGTTTACCTCGAGGCCACAGTTTCACAGTTTCCCTTTGCACACCCCAGATCTCTGTTCACCCTGATGTTGAGATAAAAATTATGTATTTCGCAAGAATTAAATGAGGGCCTTGTGGAGAACCAGTTTATGTTAAGTAATAATTAACCCAATATTCATGTGACGTACAGTGAAACAATGAATGTGATTGTTGAGCAGGCCCAACTGAGTGTTCAGTGTTTGCACTTAAACCTGTTGTACAGAGCATTCAATAGTGCCTCCCTCCGCTCAGCCTACTTCACGTCCCCCAACCTCGCTGTTAGCAGGCGGGCCTTTTGCCACTCTGGCCCCATCCTTTGGAGCTCCACCCCGCAGTCCCTCTGCCTCGCTCCCTCCCTTGCCTCCTCCAAGACCCATCTCAAGACCCTCCTCTTCGACCGTGCCTTCGGTCACCCTCCTTCCCCTGCCCCCCCGCCCTCCCCGATCCCGACCCCCAGCTCGGGTCTGAAACACCGATTGTCCAGCGCCTTGGGATGTCCTCCTTGGGACGTAAAAATAGGATATCTCTGGCTAGTGAAAACTTGACAAGACATTTGTGTGTGTGTGTGTGTGTGTGTGTGGTGGGCGGGGATATAGGAGTGGGGCTAAACTGATAGATCTTACAGAGAACTGCCACAGACACAATTACCCATTTACCTTCAGTGCTGAAACAAATTATGATATATAAAAACGCAAGTTGTAGCTGTTGTTGTTATGAATGTAAATGCACTGTAAATCTCGAGTCCAGTAGTATCATTTATTTTATTCTTTGTTTCTCTAACAGGCTTTTGTCATTCGGAGACTGTTGGAATATTCACAAGGCTCAGAATCGAACCTTCAGTACGGGCTGCTGTTGGTGCTGGGCATTTTTATGGCGGAGCTGGTTCGTTCCTGGTCATTTGCTCTGACCTGGGCTATAAACTATCGAACAGGGACTCGACTCCGGGGAGCGTTGCTGACACTGGCCTTCGAAAAAATCCTCAAACTACGAACCATGAAAGACATGACTGTTGGAGAAGTGAGTGTCTCACTGTTGCTTGTTTATCATAAAGAAACAAACTCAATAAAAATGTGGTCACTCAATCCACGACTGTTTGTGGACACTACTGTGTGCTTTTCTCCCACAAACAGTCAATTCACTTTACAGTAAAATTGTGTGAAGTGCTTTGAGACGTCTCAAAGACGTGATAAGGCACTATATCAAATGCAAGATTATTATAAGAACGTTAGGCTTTGATGCATCTATATTAGTAATCGTATATGAATGCCATGGCAACAATATTTATAAAAGAGAATTTAATACTCAATAAAATGGAGTTCATTGTAACATGGGTTTGGGAATAGTTAATTAATTAAAAATAATTAATTAAAATTCAAAGCTTTCATACTGAAACAGAAGAAATAAATTCTAGGTTTTACTGCACAGGTAAAAGGCCATTTGGTCCATCGTTCTGTGCAAATTGGCTTCCACGTTTGCCTAAAAAAGACATAGTTACTACACTTCACAGTATACTGAGACATCCTCCCAACATGAAAGGCGCTATAATTCAATTCACTTTACATTGTATTCTGTGAAGCGCTTTGAGACGTGAAAAGCGCTATATCAAATGCAAAGATTATTATTATTATAATCAATGGTAAGGATTATTATTAATGTTATGATGGTGCGAGCTTCACTGCTGGAACTATCTCCTCCTGATCCTAATTCCTTCCTTATTCCCAATGTTATGCTGTGTCTTATTCCTTCAATTAGTTATCCAATTCAATGTCAATTTTTTTTTGGTCTAAGCTTCAAAAGCCTCTTGTCCAAAAGCAATCTATATTTTAATAACTTTCTGTGCAAATGTCTTCCAACATTCTCCTATTTATGGCTGTGGGCAGATTGGCTCCTGCGTTCGCCTACAAAATGCACAGTCACTCTTCACATTGGGACAATGCCAAGGTTTTTCTGTTAAGTAACAATAAAACCTCATCAGTGACCCAATGTGCAAAGTACTATATCAAATGAATTATTATCAATGCGTCATCAAATGCATTTTATTTTATTATTAACTGGGGCCAGGGCACTGAACTTATTTAGGTATTCCTCAAGTAGGTATTCTGGAAGGATGAGGTCAAATGGGCCAAAGGGCATTTATTCTTCATCCGAACCATTCTTGTGATCTTACCAATGCTTTATATCAACTTAACATAATTTCCATACTTTTCTATGTTACAAAAATGTGTGCTTTATGATATAAAGCAGTTGAAGATCATGGTACTTTCAAGATAATTCAAGATAATTGCCAAAAGAACCAGAGGGGAGAGAGATGAGGAGAAATTTCTTTACGCAGCGAATTGTTACGATCTGGACTGCACTGCCTGAAAGAGTGATGGAAGCAGATTCAATTATAACTTTCAAAAGGGAATTGAATATTTACTTGAAAAGAAAAAATTGCAAGGTTATGGGGAAAGAGCGGGGGAGTGGGACTAATTGGATAGCTCTTTCAAAGAGCCGGCACAGGCACAATGGGCTGAATGGCCTCCTGTACTGTAACATTCATGACTTGCAGAGACTTTTTAAAGGTTCTGCGTTGTATCTCCTCACGTGTATTTACTACGTGACTCTCCCGGTTCAGTGCAAGAGGACTTCAAGTGAATTAAAGCACTCAGCATGTGTTTCATGTGCTTTAATCAGTTCTTTGTCCTCTTGCAGTGCTGAGTTTGCGTGGTTGCACTTGACCACAACGTAAATGTCTCTATTGCAGAGCCATCTTTTCTATTTTATGCGCGATGGCAAGAATGGGATGAACATTTTTGTTTCTTCCTCTGGGATATCGTGCTCACCGCTCATCCGTTTCCTGAGGTTTTTTTTTAACGAAGGGCTGTATGAGTTGGAAATATTTTGCTGCAGAATCAAAACTTGGTGGGAAGTAAATTGAGAACGCCCTTTTGTAATCAGAAGTTGAAAGTTATAAGCTTGACAGTCAACAATCCCATATGCAAGCCAGTAAATGTAGAAAATATACAGTGGCGCTCCTAAAATGCTCCATTTCTATAAAACCAAGGTTATTTCACTGAAATTAAGTGGAACGCACAACATTAATAAGGCGAGTAAGTGGATGGAACAATTTAATAATAATAATAAACCTTGCATTTGATATAGGGGCTTATCATTGTCTTGGAGAAGTCACAAAGTGCTGCACAGAATACTATAAAGTGAATTGACTATACAATTTGTGGGCGAAACGCGGGATTTATTCACATAAGATTATTTATTTACACAAATCGGATCGTTCGTCCCGTTTCTCGGGCTAATATGACAAGTTAAAGTGTCGCCAAAAAACCCTGACTGTCCAGCGTCCTGGGACGTCATTCCGATGTGAAGGGCACTATACAAGTGTACTTTGTTGTTGTAAGGAATAACCTTATCTTTCATGGTTCAGTTGGTGAATATGTGCTCCAATGATGGACAGCGCCTCTTTGACGTGGCCTCCGTGGGCTCTATGCTGGCAGGGGGACCCATGGTCGCCGTATTGGGAATCGTCTACTCTGCTTTGTTCCTCGGACCGACTAGTCTACTGGGCTCAGCTGTCTTCATTCTTGTTTATCCATTACTGGTAGGTGCCATGTGGAATTCTCTCAGCTCCTATGTTTCCAGTGGGCTTGGGCTTCTGGAGAAAATGGTTAGAATTTCCTTTCAGTCCATAAATCAATGATGGTAAATTCTTGAGGAATGGGTGATTACAGCATTGCCCTTTCAACCCATCTTCAAGTCCGGGCAAGATTGAGAAGAGTGACTTTTTCTGAATGAATCGTGATGGGAGGGAAGACAAAGTATATTTGAGTCCCGACTCTTCATGACTTTCTTTCCTACTGCTTACCTTGATTGGAATCTTTCTTACTAATCAGCCTTGCTTTGCTCATCTCACTTTCTCAAGTTAGCTCAACTTGGGTGTGTGTGTGTGTTGGATGGGTGGGGGTTTAACCAGGACGGAAGTGGGCTTCAGGTTTCTCATGCCTCACAGGTTCAGTGGGAGAATTTCCCCTTTAAAGCTCTTCAATAATGTTGAAAGGAACACCATACTATCTTATACAGAAGCTGCCTTTGTTATCGCTTGAGACTATTATGATGTTTGTTCAATTATTCCCAAGACTATACATTTTTAATTCTCGAAATTCACCTTTTAAAGGCCTGTTCATTTCTTTCCACTTTTACAGATGTTCATCTCTCGGTTGACGACTTACTTCAGGAAAAAATGTGTGTCTGTCACTGACAGGCGTGTGCGACTGATGAATGAGATCCTAAACTGCATCAGGTCTATCAAGATGTATGCCTGGGAGAAGCCGTTTTCTCAAAAGATTCATTGTAAGTTGCCATTACCGTTGTGAGTAGTTCTTCTGAGATCTCAGACAGACTGGTCAATTTGGTCAGATGAGGTAAGACATTGGAGTAAGGGGAGAGTAAAAGGGATCTTGCTAGCCTGAACTGGCACTGAGGAGAAATCAACAACTTGCATTTATAAAGCACCCTTCACGCGGGTTAGTGTCCTGGAGCGCTTAAATCAGTCAAAAACAGATCTGCCGTAGTCCAAAGGAATACTGGTTAACAAGCTTATCTGGCTGCTCAATAAGGGTTGTATGTGATCGATGCATTGAGTCTGAAAGCCAAAGCCCAAACTTTTGATTCACTTTAAAAGGGACATTTGCTTCCAGGATCTTGCAAAACAAGCTACCAGCACAGTGGGCGTTGATGCAAGAGGTGATGCGCGTTATCAAATCCACCGTTCGTGGTGGTCGGAGCCTAAGTGGCATAAAATGTACTTTAGTCTGGCCCAAAATGCTGACTTGCTTTCTTTCTGCTTCCCATTGATCTATTCTGTGTTGCTCTCACTTCCTTTTGTGCTTTGATGATCATATTTGCTTTGTGTTTGCAGCGATCAGGAATGAGGAGAGACATTTTTTAGAGAAGGCGGGCTATGTGCAGAGCATCACAGTGGGAGTAGCTCCCATCGTGGTGATTATATCCAGTGTCTGCACCTTCACACTGCACATGGCCGTGGGGTATGATCTCACTGCGGCTCAGGTAAGCACAGTCACTGCAAGAAGCAAAGTGGGGAATCGGGTGGAAATTCTGCCTCATTTTGGAGTCCTGTAGCGTAGTGGTTAGAGCACTCGCCTTGCAAGCGGGAGGACCCGGGTTAGGTTCCCGGACAGGGCAAAACCTTAGGCAAGTTTCCTTACTTCAAACGCCTCTGTTTACAGAGCAGTAAGTAGGAACCCAGTTGTTAGTCGATTGAAGATCGCTTTTCAAGGGGTAATAATCCCTTCAAAAAAATTAAAATAATAATAATTTGGTCACTCAATCCACGATTGTTTGCTCTGCCCAATTGGCTGCCGCATTTCGCCCAAAAATGTACAGTCTATTCACTTTGCAGTATATTCTGTGAATCGCTTTGAGATGTCTCGAAGATGTGATAAGGCACTATATCAATGCAAGGATTATCATCATTTTGCTTTACTTCCACCTCCTGTAATGTTTATACTATTTCCAAGTAACCCAAAATTTCAAGTCACTCGAGTGTCATTGTACAACTATTGATGATCTCATTTTATTATCACATAAAACTATATTCTGATCAATACAATCAATGTGATTCCCGTTTTGTCACCAAAGTGTCATTGAAAATCAAGCGTCTTTGAGTGCAATAACTTCTAGCAATAATTATGCTTTAGAAACTTTCAAAAATGTGACCGGAACTTAACTCCACTTTTTTTTGGTTTCCTCCTTTTAGGCATTTACATTTGTTGCAGTCTTTAATGCCATGACCTTCGCCCTCAAAATCACACCTATTTCAGTAAAAGCTCTGTCTGAGGCATCTGTTGCTATGGACCGGTTTCAGGTAAAAGTTTGCAGTTACAATGAAAACTTAATGTACCATAGACTTGCACGGTATGTATGATGAGGTGCGACAATGGATATATTAAACCCTGAAACATTGACTCAGGCCTTGTTCTGGTAGAATGCCTTTTTTTTTCTTGCCTGGCATGTCTTTTAAGGCTTATTTTTCTGAATAATAATAATAATAATAATCCTTGCATTTGATATAGCGCTTTTCACGTCTTCTAGACGTCTCAAAGCACAGAATATACTGTAAAGTGAATTGACTGTATATTTGTGGGCGAACGCGGCAGCCAATTGCGCACAGCAATGTCCGACAAACAGTCGTAGATTAAAAATGACCAATTTATTATTTTTTTTGTTTTTGGAGGGAATGGTTGCAATTGGCCAAGCAGGGCCTTGTCCTTCGAATCAATCCTCCGCCCCACCATCGGTGGTCATGCCTTCAGCCACGATGCCCCGAACCCATGGAACTCCCTCCCTCAATCCCTTCACCTTGCCCCCTCTCCACCATTGTTAAGCGCTCTGGGACACCGCCCGGCAAATTGTTGTTGTTGTGTCCTATTGATACTGTCAGGGCACAAGTACTTTCTACCTAGATGACAGGTACGAATAACACAATGGAGGTGAGGGTTCTTCTGTAGTGGAATGACTCTGCCTGCTGATAAACCTGGTCGCAAATATGTCCGATTCCTTATCAAGGAGTCAGGTTCGAAATTGTCAAACATCAGATTTCCATTACATCCATTTCTGATCCTCACCTGTTTCCTCTTTAAACTCTCTTCAGAATTTGCTTTCAATGGAAGAACAGCAAGTTATCCGGAAACAGCCTGAAAGTGCGCTGAGTGCCATAGAGTTCCGGGACACCAGCCTGGCGTGGGAAAGCAGCAAAGCCTCTCTCTTCAAGAATCGGCAGAACTCCATTTACCAGGGTGGAGCACAGGTGAAGGCAAAGGGTGAGAAGGAGAGGGTGTTGAGGAAGGAGAAGTTGAAACTCTACATTGAAACTGATCCAAAGGACTCACTAGCGGCACAGAATGGTCACCTGATTGTGTTCCCCAACGAACCTCTGAACCCTGACAATGTTGACGGCTCTTATACCGAACCCAAAGTTCAAAGGATCTTACACAACGTCAACCTAACTATACAACAGGTATTCTTAACAATTTATGCAAGCGGCAAGAGTGAACCATTTAAAGCCCGGAACACAAACGTAACAGAGCATGCCTTATTTTGGAGAGAAATTATTTTTTCCCTCCCCCATTTTATTTGTGGTGAATGTTTTGTGCTTATTGAGGTGAAGGATGCAATTTGTATGAAGTGCAACATCAATCAGCTTTTTCTGCTCAGTGCCAGTACTCATCAAATAGCAGATAAACTGTAGGGATCAAGCTTTCTTGACTGCCCCAGTAATTGCATAAACTCAGTGAAGCACCCTCAAACGCACTCACGGGATGAATAATTTACCCCTTGGCACCTTTGGATGGATAGAAAAGCAAGACCAATGAATTTGAATGAAAACATAATGTAGACCAAGCTACAAATAGAGAATTGAGTGATTGCAAACTTAACAAAATTGTCAAGTAACTGATTAGAGATTTTTGATTGTTAAAATGTGGCGATCACTGTTGAAAATTGGCTTGGTCCTCTTAAAAATTGCTCTGTCTTCCATTAAAAGTGCATTGCTTTTGCTGCAAAAAGATATAGATTGTTGTCCAGTCTGCTCCAGCCCCCAGGGCAAGCAAATGTTGAATTGACATAAGATTTTCCACGAGTCAATCCTCTCCACTGGCCTGATGATGCACTTTAAACCCAATGTCCTTAAGTGAGAGTGTCCATTGAATCCACCGCTGTTTATTGCTTCCACCTACTACTACAACTTGTGTTTATATAGCACCCCTCACGCAGGATAACGTCCCAGAGCGCTTGACAGTGGCAGAGCACGATGCCGTGGGGTACACCACAGGTGACCGGGCGGGGGTGGGAGGAGAAACTGTTTGAGGGAAGTGAAGGTGGTTTGTTAGGTAGGGCTTGATAAAGGAGTTGATCAACTCAACAACAACTTGCATTGATATAGGGTTGTCCATGTGGGGTAGCGTCTCGGAGCGCTTAACAATTGTTGGTTTTCTGTGGTAGGAAAACAACAATCTTCTAAATTTTTGTGTCATGTTTCACTTAAATACCATTTGAAATCTACATTGTCCATGTGCTTCAGTACCTTAAAGATCTGCGTCCTGTTGATTTTCAAGTGATTTCTCTACCCCCTCCTCTTTGTTTGCAAGGGTAAACTGGTGGGAATCTGTGGCAGTGTCGGCAGTGGGAAAAGTTCCCTGATCTCGGCTATCCTGGGCCAGGTAAGACCTGGATCCATCTGAAATAGCAATGTTTTTTTTGCTTCAATCATCTTTGCTGCTGCTTTTCTGTCTGTGATCCTGATGAAATGAATAGTGGGCGGGTGGGTGGGGGGAGGTGGGAGTTGCTTTGTTTGCTAGTGCACCTTACTGTTAAGATTTCAGGTAAACCGTAGGTCGCTTAAGGAAACAATTGAGTCTTAACGTAGAACTAAGGCAGGTTAAGTTGTGGAAAGATAAGAGCTGGGAAGATCCTCAGGCACTGGAGACATCGCACAGAGGACCAGGAGGAACAGAGCGAAGCAAATTGGACAACAGTGATGGTAAGAGCTGCTATTTGTTGCACCTTTTTCATCTTTCATGCCAGTCTTTTGACATTTCTTTCCATTTGTAGTGTTATTTTCTCACCACATAGACCCATTGTAATCTGAGTTTTTCATTGGACATTGCATGTCATGAGGCCAACTCACTGCATGCTAAATCACAGCAAAGAGTACGGTTAATTGAACGAAACATCTTCACCTTTCTAATTGTAGTTGATATTTTCATGTTTGTTGTAAAAGTAAAGCCAGGGGAAAGATTGATTTCCTTCATTCAGTAATGGGACTCCTCGTTTCACAGCGATTAGGATTTAGGCAATAACCGCTATACTCTGCCTCCCTATTTCTTGATTCATTTATCTTCTCCTAATCTTTCCAGACTTATCGGGGACTTGTATCACAGGTTGGGTTGCTCAATACAATTACAAACCACATTGCACATGGTCTATTAGAACGAACAGTATTGAAGGACCATATGACCTCTTGTCCCGATTTTGCATGTTGATATTTGATGTCTCCTGGCATCCATTACCCATTATTGTTAGCGAAAACTTTGACTGTTCCCAACAGTACTTGCCTGGCCCCATGTGATGATTGCATTCCTTTTAAAATTAGAAGGAACCCCTTGCAAATCACATGGCCTGCTATGGACAGGAGAATGATGGGATAATTTATTGATTGTCTGAGCAACAATGAATCAGCAGTCAGATGAATCGCAAGCGGGTATGATCAGATGAATGGCCACAAAGATGAATGAATGAATCAAATCAATCAATCAACCTTATTGGGCGAGTGGAGAATGGGTGAGATAACAAATATTTGGGTGAAGGAAACAAAAAAAAGTTAAAAATGCCTGCTTCTATGATTCTTTTCCAATTGCATTTCTTAGGGACCATCCATAATTTTCTTTCTCTCTCTCTGTCTCTCTTTCTCTCTCTCTCTCTCTCTCTCTCTCTCTCTGTCATCTCTCTTTCTGGATTCATAGTCTTAAATTGTGCAAAATTATTACTTTTTTAAAAAAATTAACTCACTATTTTTTCCCCTCCTCCAGACAGCCCTGTATTGAGGCAAAACTAACAGTTACAGATGTTATTAATTTGGTTAAAATTAATAGCTTTTATTGAGTTCATTTTCTGTCCATAATTCACACTTATAACGTTTACATTTCCTATTATCATTGTGTTTCTGAATTGCAGTTGTGGTGGGGAGCCACCTTGATTGCTATCTGAGATTATGGGCTTTACTTGTTTCTCACAGTGGTAATTTTGGACGGCTGCATCAAGGATTGGTGACGGCTCTGGTTTGGCAGAGGTGACTGTTTTTGGTCATATCTGGACCAGAGCTATGGAGGTTGTATCAGACGAGATCAAACCCCTTGATTTTTGGAACAAACATAAAATTGACTTGTAGTTCTATGTTGGGTCAAATCAAGCTTACACTAATGGTAATAATAATAATCCTTGCATTTGATACAGCTCCTTATCACGTCTTCGAGACGTCTCAAAGCGCTTCACAGAATATACTGTAAAGTGAATTGACTAAATATTTTGTGGGCGAAACGCTATATGTAGAGCTGTGGCATGTTTTGTTGAGTTTATAAAAAGAATAAGCCCAAGCTTTTAGAAAACACCACTAAAGGAACAGCAAGCAATAACAGTAATTTGCATTTCAGAAGTTGTTTTGGAGTGGTCACTACTTGAACTGAGAGCCTTGAGAAGCAAGTATCTAAACACCATGCCCTTTGGGTCACTGCATAATGATCATCGAGTCTCCTTATAACCGTGACAAAAAGTAGTTCAACTCAGAGCCAGGGAGGAGGGGAGATGACATGAGGCATTGAGGAAGGTCTTCAGGTGGTGATCTGAACTTGGAAAAGGAGAGTCAAGGCAGAGGGATTGAGGCTGTGAGTTCCAGAGTTTTGAGGCATAGTGGCTGAAAGCACGATCGGCCCTTGTGGAGGGGACAAGGGTCAGGCAGGAGGTTGGAGCCAGCTGAGCGAAGTGGTTGGGTAGAGGAATGGGGTGTAAGCAGAAAGGTAGAGAGGTGTCAGGGCACAAAATGATTTGTACCCAAGTGTGAGGATCTTGAAATTGATCCATCTTACAAAAGGGAACCAGTGGAGCCTGGAGTGATAGGGTTGCAGAGTTTCGTATGGCTGAGGATACGGGTGGAAGAATTTTTAATTATTTGGGTTTGGGAGACTAGCAAGGAGGGCATTGGAAAAATCACAACAGGAGGTGACGACTGAGGACTTTTTGGATGTTGGATTGTTGTCCACAGGTAGCAACTTGCCTCAAAATTTTATTGCAAAATAAAATCAAGCAATTTTGCTAGTGGAATAATGAAACGTACCTCACTGAACTCGGAGCAGAAATACAAATCACCATTAATTAGCCTACGTTTTGAAAATAACCCGTTGCTACAGCTCTACATTAAAGCAGAGGACATTTCAAAAATAAAAGAAGTTGCCCGATTTTTTAATTCTCCAATTGAATTGAGTCTTTTTTTGACCCTCTCTCCCCCCGATCTCGTTTGACATAACCTCTGCACGACCTGACATGTCATAGATAAATTGACTTGTTTTGTCTCCCTACCAGGATTCCACTAATATCACACACAGCTGCTGGGTTCTTAATACAAGCAAGCTACTCCCTGTTTTGTAGGTATAGACAATTTTTCTCGACGTGAAATCCTGTAAAACATGCCTACGATAAGCCCTTGATTTTAGCAAGAGGTTGTGGGTTGTGTGCGAGCCTGTTAAGTGAAGGTTGGCTGGGGTGATTGTCGCTCCTTTTGGGATCCTTGTCTTTAGTGCATTCGTGGTAAATATTAATGGGGATTTTCGTCACTAAACCTGCTGTAAGTCAATGTAATGAATGGACTGTTTAAGCAACAGAAACCACAAAGGGATTTGCAAACGGCAGGTTCTGCAGGTTCCCCGTTGTGTTGGCGGGCCCGGTCAATCTCGATCTCGTGGTCAAAAGAGACTGCTGCCCTCTGACCGTCCGTCCGGCAGGAGATCGTAACTGAATCCTATCCAGGCAGCATTCCTGGAGGTGGGATTCCCGACACTGGTTACCTGCAGAATGAGCAGTTTATATTAAAAAAATCCTTTGGGCCGTTAGCGAATTCGACCCCGTTGTTTGTGCCTACGTTGTGCAATTTTTAACAAGAAGATGTGATGTGTTGCCAAGCTGTTTCTTTTATCTGTTTCTTTCCGTTTGCTTTCACTGAGACACCTGATTATCACGGAGTCAGGGCCTACAATCAGTGCTGATAGTTTTGTATGTTTTTACCTGCAAATGACTTACTTAGTCTTCTCGGTGTTAACTCCTGTTGATTTGCCAGTGTCAGTTAGCAAAGGAATCAGTGTTAAAATTGTTTTAGAGAAAATCAAAGCAAAGAAATAAAACCAGGCACCCTTGCGCCTGGCTGTGTGAGTTTGACCCCCGTTAACTTTGCTTCGTCTTCTAGATGATTCTGCTGAAGGGGAGCATTGCAGTGAGGGGCACCTTTGCTTACGCAGCTCAGCAGGCTTGGATCTTTAATAAGTCCCTGCGCGATAATATCCTATTCGGCAAAGTGTACGAGGAAGAAAGGTAAAAGGTGGCCTTCAGGTGAAAAACTTGAACGTCTTTGACGGGATTTGTGTGGCTTTTTCATCTAGGAACGAAGACCAGGATTTGGCCATTCAACCACATAAGCACAGGCGATCGAGACAGTAAATCTTCAGAGTTCTGTTTCCTTTGCACTAGGGCCCTTAAAATGTTAAATTCAGCGCTGATCTTAGCACAAATAATGTCAGATTTCAGTCAAAAGAGACTCCTGCACTCAGACTGGGATTCTGACCTGGGGCCTTCTGATTTGTATGACTTAGTGCAACACTGGACGGTGTCTTTTTCCTTATTCCAATTCGGCTTTTGTGAAAACTATATTTTTGTCCTTTCATCTCTTTCCTGTGTCTCGTTAAACTCCAGAAGCCAAAGAATCATATGCAGCAACTGGCTCTGTGTATTAGACTATCTGTGTTTTGTATCTCAGTCTTAGTCAGAATTGAGATGGCAGCAATTTGAAGTTAAATTGGGCGTCTCATTACTGTTTCTTTACTTGCTGCGTTCTTCATTTCGGCTGAATGTTTGCAAGGAAAGCCCAGCGGCTTTCTTGCAAATGGAATTTGTGATGACGGACAAAAGACAGGTCTAGACTTGACGTTTCAGCAACAATGTACAGTATAAATGGTGCCATTCATAGCACCACTCACTATTGAGAACCAGAGGAGCCAACAAGGTAACCTTGAACTGGATCAAGGCAATTTAGATAGAAACTCCAAACCCTTTACCGGCAGAATATTTGAAACAACTTTTGATTATAAGAGAGGAATCCACTGAAACAAAAGGACTAGATTTAAATAAGTTTTGCATGTTACTATGTTTGTACGTGACTATGCATATGAGTGAACTGACTCCTTCATTCTTTGCCAGATATAATACAGTGCTGGAGGCTTGCTGTCTGACCTCTGACATCGCAAGCCTGCCTTATGGAGACATGACCGAGGTAAAAAGACTCGTGGCATATATTGTCATTGACAACAAAATATCTTGTTTGTGTGAGAATTAGTAAATTGCTTTTAATAAGCTGAATTCAACCTCACCACTAGCGCAGAATCCTTATTAGCGAGATGTTCAACGACATCGTTGTTTAACGACAACAGCTTGCATCGTTCATGTAGTTTAACGTCTCGGAACACTTTGCAATGCCGGGGTTGGGCGCCAAGCAACAACAACAACAAAATTACATTTGTATAGCGCCTTTCACGTCGGGAGGATGTCCCAAGGCGCTGGTCAGACAGAGTTTCGGACCCGAGCTGAGGGTGGGGGAGGGGGGAAGGCAGTGGGGGAAGCAGGAAGATCAAAAGCACGGTCGAAGAGGAAGGTCTTGAGGTGGATCTTGAAGGTGGTGAAGGCATGGATGGAAGGCCCGCCCGCTGATATGGGGAGAGCAAGGCAGGGGACATGAAGCAGGCCAGAGCCAGCTGACCAGAGGGAGTGAGCAGGATGGTAGGGGGTTAGGAGTTTGGAGAGGTAAGGTAGAGAAAGACCGTGGAGGGCTTTGAAGGTGAGGATCAGGATCTTGAACTGTATCCTCTGTGTGATGGGAAGCCAGTGGAGTTGGGCAAGTTTGGGGGTGATAGGGTCACGGAGCCTGGTGCTGGAGAGGACACAGGCTGCAGAGTTCTGGATGATCTGCAGCCTGTGGAGGGAGGAGAAAGGAAGCAAAGGACAAGGAAGGAAAGGGGAGGGAGGATTGGTGTGGCTGAAGAGGGTTGTTTGATGGTGGGATTTGAAGACAAACCGAGAGTAGGGAGAAGACTGAGGGCAGAGGGAGAGAGTTCCAGAGGTTTGGTAGCTAAAGGCTCGGTGCGAAAGGGGAAGGGGAAAGTGCAGCAAGTCTGAATTAGCTGAGGGATATGGGCAAGCAGAGAAGTGAGGTTACAGAAGATCGCAGAGATAGGGAGGTGGCTCGGACACATACGGTGAGGACCTTGAAAAGCTTTCATTCTTATTGCTGACAAATCTTCCTGCCAGATTGGTGAACAGGGCACCAACCTGAGTGGAGGGCAGAGGCAGAGGATCAGCCTGGCCCGCGCCCTGTACAGCGATCGGAATATCCTCCTCCTGGACGATCCGCTGAGCGCTGTAGACGCCCACGTGGGAGCTCACATGTTCAGCCATGCCATCAAGGAAGGAATGAAAGGGAAGACTGTCCTCTTTGTAACCCATCAACTTCAGGTTAGTACTTGATCAGTTAAACCTCTGTAATAAATCATGAATGGGCCTCTTGTTCCTCAAAACATTCACTTTGTAAGTAAGATATTTTTCTATTCCAAAGAACCTTTGTGTAAGGAATGAAACCCAAGGAGAGACACTCCTTCAGTCAATTCCCTGTTGTCTAGAAATAGAAATTTCAGAACCCAATCATCCCATTGTGAAGACCTTCCTCTTCAACCATACCTACTGTCACCCCACCCACCTCCCCCAGCACGACCCCATGCTCCACCACTGTCAAGTGCTTTGGGACGCTACCCTGGGTGAGGGGCGCTATATAAATGCATGTTGTTTTTGTTGTGCAAGCTACCCAGCCAAACAATCTACATGGATTCCTGAAGTGTTTGGAATCCTGTAGCATATTGGTTAAAGCAGTCACCTCACAAGCAAGAGGACTTTGGTTTGAGTCCCAGGCAGAGCGAAACCTAGGAATGTTTTCTTACTCCACACGCCTCTGTTTACCTAGCCGCAAGTAGGACCCCAGATGTTAGTTGATTGGCATATCGTTTTCTGGGGGTAATAATCCTTTATTAAAAAATAATAATAATAATTTGGTCACTCAATCCACAATTGTTTGTGGGACACTGCTATGCGCAACTGTCTGCTGTGTTTTGCCCGCAAAATATACAGTCAATTCACTTTACAGTAGTACTTTGAGATGTTTCAAAGACCTGATAAGATGCTCTATCAAGTGCAAGGATTATTATTGTATTACCCTAATCCCATTTAGTACAATTCAAAACGGCACAGAATTGGTCTATTAAACTTAATGTGTCCATTGAAACCACATTATGGATAACTTTAAAGAATGTAACTCTTATTGGACACAGAGAGCAATTAATGACAGGGAAGGGTTACCAGGAAGGATGGTAGATCTCACGAAATGGCTTGATACTATAATGGGAAGATGGTAGGGGATGTACTCTGGAAGGATGAGATCAAATAGGCCCCAGGGACTTCTTCATCTGGAATCTCTCCATGATCTTGTATCTTATTTTAGTTACTTCTGTGTCTTTTATAATTTATAATTGTACCTGCAACAATTTGGCCATGTTGTACTGTAGTTTATTTCTACATCAAGGAAGTGCTGTAACTTTCAGTTAGACAGGAACTGTTGCAATGAAGGGAATAACTATCTGGGCATTGTTGTGTTTTGGTTTGATGTAACCAACACAAGAATGGTTGAAATAAAATTTTGTGGAGGGAAAGGGATCGCAGAATAGCAATGGTGGGGGGGGGAATATTGATACTGAAATATATTGGGGATATTTTTTCTGCAAGTGCAAAACATTATATTATAATAATAATCGTTGCATTTGATATGTCGTCTTATGTCTTCGAGACTTCTCAAAGCGCTTCACAGGATATACTTTCCTTCAAAAATAATAATAATAAATTGGTCACTGCAATCCACGACTGTTTGCTATGTGCAATTGGCTGCCATGTTTCAATTCACTTTACGTATATTCTGTGACGCGCTTTGAGACGTCTCGAAGACATGATAAGGCGCTGTATCAAATGCAACGATTATTATACTGTAAAGTAGGTTAGCTGTATATTTTCAGGGCAAAATCACTCAATTATCAGGTGTAAAGGTAATCTGTAAGACATGTAGGTGGATAAGGATACCATAGCTGCAATGCCACCTTGTATGTGAGTTGAAGGTGAGAAAGGGGGAAGTAGGTGGGAAGTAACAGCTGCAGAGTGTGCACAACCTCCTTATGACTGGCTATAGGAATTGCTGGTAGTGCCCTGGGAGCAGACTGCGTGATGCCATGCACAAGCACTGAGCACTGCCTGACTGAAGATAACAACAGCAAATTACATTTGTATAGCCCTTTTCTCATCGGGAAGACGTCCCAAAGCGCTGGACAGTCAAGGATTTGCACCCGAGCTAGGGGTTGGGATCAGGAGGGGTGGAGGGGCAGGAAGGATGGGGATAGGTGGATGACTGAAGGAGTGGTCCAAGAGGAAGATCTTGAGACAGGTCTTGAAGGGAGGTGGGGGGAGGCAAAGGGAATGTGGGATTCAGTTCCAGAGAGTAGGGGCGGAGAGGCTGAAGGCCCGACCGACGATGGTGGGCGGGCAAGGCAGGGAACATGGAACAGGCCAGAATCTGCCAATGGGAGGGAGCAGACAGGCTGGTATGGGGTTAGCAGGTCTCAGAGGTAGGGAGGAGCAAGGCTGTGGAGGACACGATAATCAGAAAAGAGAAAACAATTGAAAAAGTGGACCTACCCGGAGAAATAAAGTTTTCGTTTCACTGAAATAACAAAACTAGACCAAAGGGAGAAGTGGAAAAAAATGAAACACATTTAACTCTGTGTCTTGCTTTTCACTTCCAGTATCTGGAAGATTGTGACGAGGTGCTGTTCATGAGGGATGGCTGCATTGCGGAGCAAGGCACACACGAGGAGCTGATGGCTCTCAACGGAGACTTCGCTGCCCTGCTCAACAGCATGCAGCAAGCTGTAAGTGCAGCCCAGTAAACCGGGACCACAACGGGTTGGGACTTGCCATTGATACGAAAGAGTGGAGTGCTGCTGTATTGTTTTCTCATGGAATATTTTCTCGGGAAATAGCACAAATAGCTAATGAAGCCCAATAGTAAGAATGGGCTTCATTCACTTTTGGTGTATTTAAAATTTACGTTGGAGTCCTGTAGCTCAGTGGTTAGAGCACTCGCCTCTCAAGTGAGAGGACCTGGGTTCAGGGGAAAATGTTGGGCAAGTTTCCTTACTCCACACGCCTGTTTACCTAGCAGTAGGTAGGAACCTGGTTGTTAGTCGTTTGCTGGATCGCTTTTCCGGGGGTAATAATCCCTCAAAAAAAAACAAGAATAATTTGATCACTCAATCCATGGCTGTTTGTGGGACGCTGCTGTGCGCAATTGGCTGCTGCGTTTCGCCCACAAATATACAGCCAATTCACTTTTTACTGTATATTCTGTGAAGCGCTTTGAGACGTCCAGAAGGCATGAAAAGTGCTGCATCAAATGCATGGATTATCATTAATATATAAATATTATTTTATGCATTATGTACTCATATAAGATGTTTCATTGGGAAATGGAGCCCAAGTCTGGTGCCCATGTTCAAGCTTTCTCAAGTCAAGGGTTCGATGGGGCTGCACGCAATTTCCCAAGGTGTTTGGATCCTCACGCCTCTGTACTTTTCAGATTGTCAATGTGAATGTCCTGCACTGTACTAATAGATGGCATTAAATTCTAGAACCTCTTTCGGAAGAACTTAAGAAACCATGACCAGAAGACAGGAAGTAGGCCTGCAAAATCGGTGTCTACAAGCAAATCTGTGACTATTGTGCGTGATAAGAAAGAAGCAGGTATGAGCGATACAGACCCACTTGTACAATGTAAACCACCCTCTTCAACGGGGGACATAGCTAGTATTCTTCTATCTGTGGGTTTAGGATTGATGTTAAGTAAAAGAATTTTACCGTTTTTTTTTTTTCATCCCTCCCGCGCCCCCCCCACCCTGTGTGTTAGTCAGTTCCTGTGTGGTGAAAGGAAGGTCTTCAAGTGAAGGCAGCCAACCTGCTTGCAGTACTTCAGACCAATGTCTGTGTGTGTGTTAAGTTTTACCTTGTAGAATAGTGTGTGGCTCATACTAGGGCCTAATTTATGGCCATTTGTGAAATGACTACTGTTAATACTGAATAGCGATTTCTTCCAATAACTAGGAGACTCGCGGGAGATTTGCTTCAGAGGTGGATTGTGTCGGAATCGAGTTCCCGTGGGTCTGTGTGATGTACTTCCGATTATTTAGACAGTCTTTTTTTTGCACCTTAGCATGACTTGCATTAAAAAGATTGCGATTTAGGACTTGTACAGATCACATGTCCATACGATCTGCAAGCGAGGTGTCTTGTATGCTTGTGTATACCCGTGCCCAACACATACAAGGCTGATCAGCATCGCTGTGTGATCTATAATCCACATAATTGCCTGCAAATAGAAAATTCAGAAATTGGCTTATTTACCAGCATCTTAAAAAGCACGTTTTGCTTTGCTCTGGGACATCCAGTGATGTGAAAATCCAAATCCAATCACTTATTTTTCTGAGAGGAAATGCAAAGGGAACAATGGCAGACACAAGGCTTTTATTAATTCTAGGTGGTCATTTTACTCCTCTCAATATGTTGCCCTTATGTTTGAAGGTTCACAATCCAGGAACCGTGCATACACATGACAATTTGACAAAAAGTATCGGTGAAGGGAGTTTTTTTGATGTGCTTCATGAAACACATAAACCTATGGTCAAGGCTGACTTGGCTTCCAAACCACAGAAGGGTGGGCTGGACAGTGAAGGAGAAGGTGTATTTGGACAAGGCAAAATATTCCCTGAAAGGCTGACTTTCCACAGGTTTCCTCTAATCTATGTTCTTTCTTTGCTAAACTTTGCATCTTTTAGTAAGTCTTGGCTATTCAGCCCCAATGAGGGAGAACAATAGAAAACAATTAAGAATGCTGGAAATTTCTGATTAAGAACTGGAAATGCACATCAGGAAGAGAGAGGGATTAACACTAAACAGCACAACTGTTTTAATTGCATACTTCAACCTAAATGTTAAACTTGTGGAGTCCCTTAGCGTATAAATTAGAAAAATCGGTTTGCGAGGGAGAGGACCGAGGTTTGATTCCTGGACAAGGCGAAACTTTAGACAAGTTTCCTTACTCCACATCCCTACTATGTTTACCCAGTAGTAAATAGGAGCCCGGTTGTTAGTTGATTGACGGATCTCTTTCTGGGGGAAATAATCCCCCCCTCCCCCCCCCCCCCAAAAAAAAAAATCAATCAATCATAATAATCCAAGACTGTTTGTTAGCTATTGCTGTGCGCAAATTGCCTGCCACGTTTCCCCCGTAAAATACACAGTCAATTAACTTTACAGTATATTCTGTGAAATGCTTCAAGACGTCTCAACGACGTGATAAGGCGCTATCTCAAATGCAAGGATTATTATCTTTTTGTGGTAAGAAGGTACCTGCAGTGCATTTCCAGCATTGGGGGAGGGAAGGTAATGCGATATCCACTGTCCACAGATGTTTTAGGAAGTCCTTTCTCATCAGGTCGAGGCTACGGCACAGTAGTGATCCGCAAAGTGGTTTCGGAGGGAGATTTCATGTACCAGGTTAGGGTTTTTGGAAGCAAGTCCAGTGTCATGCTGAAAGGAAGTGAAGTGAGAGTGAGAGGATCGGTACAAAGTTTGCCAGTGATGTCAAATCAGAGGTCTGCGGATTTCAGCCCAGAATTTCTCAAAAGGGAATCAAATGAGAATGCAGGCAAGTGTAACCTAGAGTTAAACAGTAACTCAGTCTTCTCATTCTCTGAAACATTTCCCGATAGTAAGTGGAGCGTTCCTTTTTGGAATCTCTGAAGCTCTGGCCAAAAGTTAGCAAGGAATTCACCGTTACTCGGGGGAACCTGTTACTCCCAACATTAAGAACATAGTTCCTGAACATTAAGGAAAGTAACTAAAACGGGCGAGTTCACGATCCTATAATGGGTATGAAAGCAGCTTCCTGCTGTTAACGGACACGTTACCCGTGGAATGTTTGTAATGGTGACTCAGTGGTACAGTGTGCTGTTGCCCCAAGAGTTATGGATCACTGGGACAAGTTTTGATTCCTCCCCTACCCCCATTACTGACCTCGACCATTCTGCTCCTAAATTGTGCCATGTCAAAGGCACGAAAGGAAAGGAATGGCCCAAGAGCTGGCTGCTGCCTTTTGCCCACAAAATATACAGTTAATCCACTTGACAGTATAACCCGTAAAGCGCTTTGAGACGTCTCGATGACGCGATAAGGCGCTATATCAAATGCAAGGGTTTATTAACATTATTATTGTTATTGCACCACTGGAGGCTTGGGCCTTTAGATCCCTGGTGCTGTCTGGAACAAATGCTGCCATTCAAAACTCATTCCAGACGATCATGTTGTATGCTGACTCTTAACTGCTGATTTTAACAGAGTGAATCTTGTGTTAGCATTAGAAAGCGCGATTGCAACAGAGATGAGAGAGGAAGTGTCAGATCATGAACGGAGCAGAAAGCACCAGGCCACGGAGGGCTGGAAGGTAGAGCCCGAGGACAAGCCGAAAGCCTCTGTGAGCGATAAAAGGTCCGTGGTGACACGGTGGAAGCCACTAGTTGCCCAGATGGATGAGGTCGACATTGAATGGAACCAGGGGGAGCTGAGCTCTCTACTGACGATTAAAACCAGGCAGTTGCAGTCTGAGATGGTGCTAAGTGACAAGTTCATAAGGGAGAAGGAATTTGATGAGCAGCATGAGGGAATATCAGATAACTTATTCAGTCAGAACTTTTTCCCTAAAGAAGAGAAGCAGAGGGGCAAGTGAAAGAGTTGTGTGGTTTATTCTATGACCTGTGTACTTTGCATATCTGGAACCCAATGCAAAAGACTTCCTTTACAAGGCTAACGGCAGATTGATGGGAGTGGTCAAAAGCTTCTTTTGGGTAACTGGGAAGGTTTTATGAACCGATGGTCCATTTAAGGTTGTCGCTTTGTAAAATGCCATCCCTCTTTCAGTAAAGGTAGGATAAGGAGCTCCGAAAACAGCCTTATAAGGAACTCTGCTGTCCTGGCCAACAATCTGCTGTCGCGTTTTGCCCACAAAATACACAGTCACTACACTTTACAACGAATCCTGTGAAGCGCTTTGACACGTCTCAGCGATGCGATAAGATAATTTCCTTCATGGCTGTTTGTGGGACATTTCTGTGCGCAGTTCCCGCGTTTGCCTACGACCCAATGCTACTTCATCACCTTAAAGCAGTGGTTTGGGCACATCACAGTTCGACGCACAACAAAGGTCCCTGTGCGATTGGATTGGGGTTATCTTGTGCCTCTGAACAGTTCAAGCTGAGGTCAGGAAGCATTTCTTCACACTAGGATTGTGAAGGTGTAGAATGTTCTTCCCCCCCCCCCCCCCAGAGAGTTGTAGAGGGGGTATCAATGAGGATGTTTAGAGGAGAACTAGACAGATATTTGCGTGGTAGAGGTATGAAGGTAGTGATCATTTCTTTAATGGCTGATTTAATGGCTGTGCGCGAGTTGTTGGTGGTGGTGGTGGTGGAACAGGCATGCTGGGCTGAATGGCTTCTTCCAGTACCTGTTTTCCAATGTTCCTGCATTGGTCACTGGGGCCATGCTCTGGCTTATCTCTTCCTCTCTGTCACTCGTGGAGTCCTGTAGCTCAGTGGTTAGAGCACTCGCTTTGCAAGTGAGAGACCTGAGTTCAATTCCAGGCAGAGGGCGAAACCTTGGGCAAGTTTCCTTATTCCACACAGAGCCTAATAATAATCCCTCCAAAACCAAAAACAATAATAAATTGGTCATTTTTAATCTACGACTGTTTGTGGGACATTGCTGTGCGCAATTGGCTGCCGCGTTCGCCCACAAATATACAGTCAATTCACTTTACAGTGTGTTCTGTGAAGCGCTTTGGGACGTCCTCCCGACGTGAAAAGCGCTATATCAAATGCAAGGATTATTATTATTATTATCGTGCAGTGTTTCTCTGTCTCGATGGCTCTGAGGTGATGAAATAGCATTGCGCTGTGGCCGACCGTAATGCATCACGGCATTTAAGCACAGATTTGAACTTCTATTTTGGGAACGAAAGTATATGAAATTCAGCGCGGGTTGAACTGGAGAGTGTAGCAGTGCTGCACTGTAATTGTGTGGAAATTCCATTTCAGTTTCCTTGCACTGACCTGTGCCATTCTTTTTGCTACCAGATCAGCTCATGGTCGCCGAAGAGAAAGCTGAGGGCTCTGTGCCCTGGGCTATGTACGGAATTTATATCCAGGCTGCCGGGGGCACTCTTGTCTTACTTGCCAACCTCTTCCTGTTTGTGCTGACGACGGGCAGCATTGCGTTCAGCAACTGGTGGCTCAGCTACTGGATCAAGCAGGGCAGTGGGGTGAGTGGCCTTTCCGTTTCTAAGATTAAATGACATTTGAGTACAATACAAAATTACATTTGTAAAGCGCCTTTCACTTTGGGAGGACGTCCCAAGGCACTGGACAGCGAGGGCTTTGGACCCGAGCTGGGTGGGGGGTGGGATGAAGGAGGATAGATGGCTGAGGGGTAGTAGAGTGGCGGGAAGGCGTGGTCGAAGAGGAGGGTCTTGAGACGTGGGATGGAGTTCCAGAGGATGGGGACAGAGAGGCTGAAGGCCCAACTGCTGATGGTGGGGAGGGCCGGGCGTGGGGTCATGGATCAGGCTAGACTAGAGCCTGTTGAGTGGAGGGATCGGACAGATTTATATGGGGTTAGCAGGTCACAGATGTAGGAAGAATAATAATAATAATAATAATCCTTGCATTTGATATAGCGCTTTTCACGTCAGGAGGACGTCCCAAAGCGCTTCACAGAACACACTGTAAAGTGAATTGACTGTATATTTGTGGGCGAACGCGGCAGCCAATTGCGCACAGCAATGTCCCACAAACAGTCGTAGATTGAAAATGACCAATTTATTATTATTAAAGAAGCAAGACCATAAGCAGGATCCAATTGTCTGAATGCTTACAAAATATGTACGACTTGCAGGATTCTGGAACAGTTACTTTTTACTTAATTATATTCATATCATAGAATCCTACAGCACAGAAGGAGGCCATTCGGCCCATCGTGACCGTGCTGGCTCTTTAAAAGAGCTGTCTAGTTAGTCCTGCTCTTGGCCCATGCCTGGCAAATGTTTTATTTTTGTGTACATCCAATTCCCTTTTGTAAATTAGCATTGAATTGGTTTCCACCACCCTTTCAGTCAGTGTATTACAGATTGTAGCAACTCGCTGCTTAAATTTTTTTGTCCTTATCTCCCCTCTAGTCCTTTTGCCTAATAATCTTTGCATTTCATATATAGCGCGTTATTGCGTCATCGAGGGGGCTCAAAGCACTTAACAAGATGTACTGTCAAGCGGTTTTGACTGTGTATTTTGTGGACGGAATGTCTTATAAAGCTTTGTCGGGTACAACGCTGTATCCAAGTACGAGATGTAACGCAGCCAGAAAGGTGAGCTGAAGACACTGGAGCTATCCACACGAATCACTGAGGGCTTCTTTACAGAGCCTGTGTAACCAGGCACGTCTGCTTCTCTTTTACAGAATTCGTCGGTCGCTGTGGGTAACGGGACCATCATCAGCGGCAGCATGAAAGATAACCCCAATCTGAACTTCTACACCTGGGTCTATGCCCTGTCTATGGTGGCTGTGCTGCTCCTCAAGGCACTCCGTGGTTACGTCTTTGTTAAGGTGCTGAAACATTATTATTTGCAACACCAATCTCCCTGCTGTAACGTACTGATTTTGCTTTGCTCAAGATACTGCCAATGTTCCTAATGCTTACATTTGGTACAGCACCTTTTGTTGTTGGGAGGACGTCCCAAAAGGCTTCACAGGCTATACTCTAAAGGGCAGTGACTGTGTGTATTTTGTTGATGAACGCCCCAGCCAATTTAGGACAGCAATGTCCCACAAATAGTCATGAAGTGAATGACCACTTTTGTTTGTGGAATTATTGGCCGGGACACCAGGAGACAGATTCTCCCTTCTCTTTTCAAACTGTGTCATGGGATCTTTAATGTCCATCTGGACAGGCAGACTGGACTTCGGTTTAACTTCTCAGCCAAAGAATGTATTAATCACAAGACCAGTTAGCCGAGTTTGACTTTATTGACCTACTCTGGAGGCAGATTGAATGTTAAGGTTAGGTGTATATTTGGAGGGCTGGAACGTGGAAATCTCTGCCATAAACAGCTGTTCGTAAATTCTTTTAATAAGGGAATTAAGTTTGAAAAAGAGGGATGTTAAAGGGTGTGGAGGAGCGAACAGAAGAATGGGATTAGACGAGGTGGCTCATGTGGAGAGACATTATTATTATTATTATTATTACGCACCAGCACAGACTGGATGGGACAAATTGTATCTTTGCTGTAGCATTCTCAGTGAGTTGGGGAATTGGTAGTGAAAGTGTCCCTGTCATTGTTTCTGCCAATAATTCCTTCAAAAAAAAATAATAAATTGGTCACTCAATCCACGATTGTTTATGGGACACTGCTGTGCACAGTTGGCTGCCGTGTTTCGCCCACAAAATATACAGTCACATCACTTTGCAGTTTGTTCTGTGAAGCCCTTTGAGACGTCTCGAAGACGTGATAAGACGCTATATCAAGCGCAAGGATTATTATTGTTCATTTTATTCGTTCTGTCTCTCTAGTGCACAATCAGGGCTTCCTCCACTCTGCACGACGCTCTGTTTGAGAAAATCCTTAGGGCTCAGACTAAGTTCTTTGATACTACACCTCTTGGTCGCATCCTCAACAGGTTTGCTAAGGATATGGATGAAGGTAAGCACATGGCTCTTTCGGGTAGTTGTGGTTGTTGTATGGAGGGTCCAGTGTATGGGTGGGATGTGGGTCTGTAGACAAGCTTCCTGATGTCAGCCACAATGCTGAGGAGGCAGTCGTTGGAAACCCAGGAGGTGGATCGCTACCACTTCCCCCGATTATGTCACACTTGTTGGCTTGTTGAGGACCAGTCCTGCCCCCAGAGAATTATTCTTCATAATATTTACCTTCTGCCAGCAGCTGTGGAGAATCATCTTTCCATTGAAGATCTCACAGTGAAAATTGGGAGTAGTGTAGGAATCCAACTGCAGGAACGATTTTCATCACTGAAAGTGGGGTCTAAGCAGTACTGCCTGCCTTCCAGCCTGTTCCTTATTATTATTATTAATAATAATATAATCCTTGATTTGATATAGCGCCTCATCACGTCGAGACATCTCAAAAAGTATGGAATATGCTGCAAAGTGAATTGACTGAGTATTTTGTGGGCGAAACCCAGCAGCCAATTGTGCACAGCAATGTCCCTCAAACAGTGGCTTAAGTAACCAAATTATTTTCATTTATCCTCCACTGAATTACCGTTTCGTCTTCAAATATACAGTCAATTCACTTTACAGCATATTCTGTGAAGCGCTTTGAAAAGTCTAGAAGACATGAAAAACGCTATATCAAATGCAAGGATTATTATTATTATCCTCCATGTCATATACTCATCTGTCGCAAAAACTGATGGCATCTGATTTGCTCCAAACCTTGTTTCAACTGACTTCTGTGAATGGGACAAGCAAAATATTCTTGTAAATCTGCAGTGAAAGAGCAAGACTTTGTGTGTGTCTGTGTGGTGGGTGGGGGTTGTGTTTGAGTGTCTGTAGTGTATGTGACTGTGGTTGTGTGTATGGATTGTGTTTGAGTGTGTGTTCGTGTGGATAATGTGTGTGTAGTATGTGGGTTGTATGTGGGTTGTATGTGTGCAGATAGTATGTGTGGTGTGTGGATGGGGAGGGAAGATGTTTCAATCCTCAGTTTCTGCTTGTTCTCTTTCTAGTTGATGTGCGGCTACCCAGTCAGACGGAGATGTTGGTCCAGAACCTCCTCCTCATCCTGTTCTGCCTCGGTGTCGTCAGCTTAGTCTTCCCCTGGTTCCTCATTTCAGTCTTACCCCTCAGCATCATTTTCATGGTTGTTAACAAGATCTCAAGGTAAATGGGTGGTGGGTTGAGAGCTCGTGGGTGATGGCAGGATGGCGGGGTGGGTGAGATGACTTCCAGAGAGCCGTTTGGGCCCAATCATTTTCAAAAAGTGGGCCAGTTCAGGACTGGGAGATGGTTAGAAAATTAGTTGACATTGAGTGTTGACATTTTCACTCCAGCGATACAGAGAACTGGAGAAATTGAGGACCTGTTTCAAATATCTCATTAGAAAAGCCTCCCCAACAGATCTCAAATCTGCTGGATCTCCTGCCGAAGGTTCCTTTGGTGAGAGGATTCCTCTCGCATCTCATACCCTGAGCGAGCCTGTCGCAAAGCAGAGATGGGAATCGCTGGCAACCCCTTATTGTGCTTTGCTGGTCTCCGACTCTTCTGTGTCCGGACGACGGGGCAGTGAATGGTAACGAGGGCTCCTCTCTCCTCTCGTCTCCCCCGCAGGGTACTGATCCGTGAGCTCAAGCGTTTGGACAACATCAGTCAATCGCCGTTTACGTCTCACATCACATGCAGCCTGCACGGCCGATCCACCATCCACGCGTACCACAAGGGGAAAGACTTCCTCCAGAGGTCAGTCATGCGCATCCCACCATTTGCCACCGGAGTCCTGGAGAGCGGTGGTTTGCGCGCTCGCCTCGTAAACAATATTCCCGGGCAGGTGGGTGGGCGGGGCAAACCCTTAGGCAGGTTTCCCTGTTCCGTATGGCTCGGTTTACCTAGCAGTAGCTAACAATTTGGATTTATATAGCGGCCTTCATGCAGGGTAGATACCTGGAACGCTGGAAATGCAGTTGTAATATGGTTGTTCCTTCAGTAAGTAGGAAATCGCCCACTTTCGCCCACAAATATACAGCCAATTTACTTTACAGTCTATTCTGTGAAGCGCTTTGAGATGTTGAGAAGCCTTGAAAAGCGCTATATCAAATGCAAGGATTATTATATGTTACTGTGAAGTGCTCTGAGACGCCGTCCGGCGTGGAGGGCGCTATATAAATCCAAGTTGTTGTGGTTGTTAGTCGATTGGCCGATCGCTTTCCGTGGGTAACAATCCCCCTTCCCACGAAAACAAACAAATAAATAAATAAATAAATTTGGTCACTCAATCTACGACTGCTGTGCGCGATTGGCTGCCGGGTTTCGCCCACAAAATACGCAGTCACTCCACTTTACAATATATTCCGTGAAGCCCTTTGAGATGTCTCAATGACGTGATAAGGTGCTATACCAAATGCAAGAATTATTATCAGGACAAATCAACTCTATTATTGTTATGATGATGTTTGCGCCTCTCTGTCAGGTTCCAGGAGCTACTGGACTGTAACCAGTCACCTCACTTCCTGTTCAACTGTGGGATGCGGTGGCTGGCCGTGCGGCTGGACATCATCAGCACCATCCTCATCACCGTGGTGGCGCTGCTCATCGTTCTGATGCACGGAGGCATCTCCCCAGCCTATGCCGGACTCGCCATTTCCTACGCAGTCCAGGTGACCTCACACAAACTCCAGTTTGCGACGTTGCTCGAGCGCTTGGTTCCCTGTCAGGGAGTTGTGAGCTCTCGCGTTGCTGTAATTGTATTTGTCATCATGTTAGATTAGATAGATGTTTGTTAGGTCAGGGTATTAAGGGATATGGGGCAAGGGCAGGAAACTGGACTTGAGGTGCAGATCAGCCATGATCTTATAGAATGGCAGAACAGGCTTGAGGAGCTGAACATCTTTCTCTTGTTGCTACGCTTCTTTCTAAGGTTTAATTCGATGTTATGAAGCGTATTACGTTTAAAGAGTGGCCCCCATCTCTCCAGTTAAGGACAGGGTGGGGGGAAATATCACACCAGCTTCAGTCAGGGATAGAACTCTGATTTCAAGCTTCCCTAAAACAGGCCAGTGTTACACCTCAACTGAGATCGGTGCTCAAGGCAGAGACAAGGATTAAACTGGGTATTTCTTAGTCAATCCAGTTTGTGGATTTGTGGAATACATGCACTGAGCTATCCAGGACTTGTTTTTATCTACTGCATCTGTAAACAGTATTTAGGTTTATAGATTCTGGGTGTATAATTATATATAACCCCTAGCTCAGGTGCAAATCCTTGGCTGCCCAGTGCTGGGGGAAGTTGTCCTGACGTGAAAGGCGCTATACCAATGTAATTTATTGTTGTTGTAGGTGTGTATTTTATATTGTTATATTGTGTTCTCCTTGATTTGTTTTTCTTGCTCAGTTGACGGGATTGTTCCAGTTCACTGTCCGTCTCGCGTCTGAAACCGAAGCCAGGTTCACGTCCGTAGAAAGGATCAACCATTACATCACGGTGAGTGCGACCACAAGGACTGAGGAGAATCGATCACAGTCCCTCCGACTGTTAAAGCAAACCACAAACCACCGTGTTGGACAGGCAGGATTTGGGGGCCTGTGTCAGAGGGTCATTTTAATTTATAAGTTAATCATCAACCCTTCAAAAAAAATTGGTCACTTCAATCCACAACTGTTTGTAGGACGCTGCTGTGCGCAATTGGCTGCTGGGTTTTGCCCAGAAAATATACAGTCAATTCAGTTTACAGTATATTCTTTGAAGCGCTTTGAGACGTCTCGAAGACGTGATCAGGCGCTACATCAAATGCAAGGATTTGCAAATGCAAAATCAAGCTTTTTTTAAAAGTAAATCCAGTGTCCTGGCCTCAACTTCCTTTCCTGGCAGTCTTTTCCAATCTGTTAATTATCCTATGAGTAAAGAAACACTTTGTTGTATCTGTCCTCAAGTTGCCCTTTTCAAATCTAAATCCGTGTCCTCTTGTTCTGCTGTCATGGTGCATCTGAAAGTATTGTCCTGGGCTTTATATTTTCAATCCCATTTAAATTGATATACACCCTCTATAACGTCTCATCTGAAACCTTTTTTCACAAGTCTGAAGAGCCCTTGCATATTTAATCATTGCTCATAGCTCATTCCTCCCAACACTGGGGATCACCCCGTGTGAACTCAGTTACGCTACTTGTGTAAACCTGTGTATAGAGGGCATTAGAGGTGGAGTAAAATACACTTCATGAATGAAAGTAATTAATCCTGCAGTTACCGAGTCCTTGTTTTATGTCAGAACCGTATTGCTCTGTGTAACATGGTGATTAATTGAACTCACGGCGATCCGGACATTTTGACGCCTTCTCCTTGGTCCGTCTCGGTTAGAACGTGGAGAGCGAGGCTCCGACCCACGTCCCGGGCTCCCGCCCTCCCCCCGGCTGGCCTCAGGAAGGACGCATTGAGTTTAGCGACGTGGAAATGCGTTACCGCGACAATCTGCCGCTCGTGCTGAAGAAAATAACCTTCGACATCAAACCTCGGGAGAAGGTGGGGATCGTGGGACGCACAGGCTCAGGTACGCATGCACAGGCTGGGGGGGTCAGACTCCGCTCCGGGACTCAGCCCCCCGTGAAGGGTGCTGCGCAAATGCAAGTTGTTGCTACCGCGTACGCGGAAGGTGTGTGTGGGTGGGCTCGGGCATTGCGCTGGGTTGACAGGGGCGGACTCTGGTCCACGAGGACCCCATATAGGTACATGCTCCAGGTACACAAGTTCAACAATGGGCGAGCGCAAAATGGTACGTGTGTATGGGCTCGGTACATGCACCGTGTACACATTTGCGGGCTTGGGTAAATACCGTCAGCCCTCGATCCAAGCAGCCCGCAGAACATTTTAGTGATAAATCCCATGAAAGTACCAAATAGGCAAGAATCCTTTCCCAAAATGCGTGGGGTGGGGGGGAGGGAGAAGAGCAGCCAAAATATTGCTGAAAATAGGAGCACTTAAATGCGTCGACAATTTTAATTCCCCCCACATCCCCCTTTTTTCCAACACGATGTGAAGTGATGGGAGAGAGAGATGAATATTGACTTGTTCCCACGCGGGAGGTTCTGTTTAGACCCCAAAGGTAATTGAGAACAAAGTCCAGTGTGTCCAACCTTTTGTCACATCCCCGTCAGCAGCAAAGTGCTAAATAAGTAGTGATAACATGTATTAAGTTCTCTGATCTCATCGTTAATACGCAGGGAAATCGTCTTTGGGAGTGACACTGTTTAGACTGGTAGAAAACTGCAATGGTTCCATTATAATCGATAATGTGAAAATCTCTGACATCGGGTTGGACGACCTGCGAAAGAAGCTGTCCATCATCCCACAGGAACCGATGCTCTTCATAGGGACGGTCAGGTATGTCAGGAGAAGTGGGCTTCCTTGAGTGATTGTAGTAGTAATAATAATAATCCTTGCATTTGATACAGCGCCTTATCACGGCATTGAGACGTCTCAAAGCACTTCACAGGAATACACTGCAAAGTGAATTGACTTTATGTTTTGTGGGCGAAACGAGGCAGCCAAATGAGCACAGCAGCGTCCCAGAAACAGCCATGGATTGAGTGACCAAATTATTATTATTTTCAAAAAGTTTATAGCGTCTCATCCCTTGGCTGTGACGTCTCAAATCACATGAGAAGGCGCTGTATCAAATGCATAATCGCCTGACAGGATGCTGACAAACTGCGGAGTTTAACAAACAAAGGAACGGCCTGTTTTACACTTCTGAGTGGTCAGCGTCTGTCAACCCGGAGACCAGCAATGTCCGTGGTCACAACCTCAGCCGAATATTAATTGTTAACGGCCCCAAACCAGTTATACCAGGATTCCAACAATTAGCTGCAAGTTGACGAGAGATCTGTGAACGCCAAGGTGAGTGAGTGCTCGTCATGGGCGAGCTAAAATAGCGAGTGTTAGCAAGAGTCATCCACTGCGCGTGGTGCATCACTGCCATTCATTGACCTTCCAGTAAGAATGACTGATTAGCGATCTGACCGTGAACTCTGACTGACTTTATCTTTTCCCCCGAGGGTGATTGTGCCTCTACATATGAAGTTGCCTCAGTTGAGATCAGCTTTCTCGGCCCAGCCTGGGAATTCTTGCACGCTGAATGTGCATTTCTTTTAAACCAGCTGAGCCACGAGCAAACGATGCAATTCACGTGACAAAGCAGGCGTGTTGATCTGGTGGTTTTCACTTGCAGGTCAAACCTGGATCCCTATGACCAGTGTACAGACGCTCAGATTTGGGATGTGTTGGAAAGAACTCACATGAAAGAGAGTGTAAGTAGGGATGTAAATGAATGAACCGAATGCTGGATCACATACGGATTCCTCTTGCCCAATACGTGGAGGCTCCCCAGTTGGTTTTATTGGTCAATACTGATGTCTAATATCTGGTGATTGATTGGTTGGTTGGTTAATTGATTGATTGATTGATTGATTGAACTTGGTAATAGTGAGCTCCAGGCGGAGGTCCTGCATATCAGGCCTGTTGGCTAACAAATACACAGTCACTACATTTGACAGCGTTTCCCCATGAAGCCCTTTGAGACCTTTTGACATTAAAGGAAAAAAAACAGCTGAAAAATTCTTGGTTCTACTAAGGCTGAGCTTCCACACGGCCCCATGTAGTTGGAGCGCCCCCTGTTGGCCAAACCATGGTTAAACGTGGTTTCACTGCAGTGCTATACAAGTGCTATTCGTGTAAGAATTGATTCACTTTCATGTTGAAACATCTCAAAGTGCTTTTCAGATGATTGCTGTGAAGTGTAGTGACTGTGGATTTGCAGGCTGAGCAAGAGACCCCCTTGTTGTAATAGCCTGTAAATAATAATAATAGTATTCCTTGCATTTGGTGTAGCATTTATTACTGTTAAATATCTCAAAGGGCTTCACATACAATTTCTGTGAAGTATAGACTGTGTAGTTTGTAGGCGAATGCAGCAGCCAATTTACCCGCAGCAATTTACCCGCCCACAAACAGGCATGGAATGAATGACTAATTTATCTGTACGAATGTTGGCCAAGACACCAAGAGAACCTCCATTCTTCGTGCCACGAACAGGCAGATGGAACCTCAGTTTGATGGTTTATCCAAAAGACAGTGATAACAACAACAACAGCAACTTGCATATATAGCGCCCGTCACTCAGGGTAGTGTCCCAGAGCGCTTAAAGTTCAGGAACCCACTTCTGACAACGGAAAACTCTCCCAACACTGCACTGCAGTTCTACCTTAGACTACTCAGAGTCCCGGCTTAGGGATTTGAACCACAGCCTTCTGACCCAGAGGCTGGAGTGCTACCAACTGAGCCGGGCTGATGTACCTGGCTCAGATGCACTTAAGGGAATTAAAAGAAATTTACAATAATTGAGAGCAAGGAAGAGGGGAAAAAAAAGAAGTGAAGGAAAAGAATAAGTGTGTGTATGTGTGTGTTGGGGGCAGAAATCTGAATTGTGTTTTTGGGGATTTATTTGCAGATTGCGCAGCTTAATGAGCAACTGGACTGTGAAGTCACAGAAAATGGAGAGAACTTTTCGGTGGGAGAGAGACAACTCTTGTGTGTGGCCCGAGCCCTCCTCCGACACAGCAAGGTGACTATTTTGGGAGGTGGGGTGATGATGACGATGATGATAATAATAATAATAATCCTTGCATTTGAAATGCAGCCTTATCATGTCATCAAGACGTCTCAAAGCGCTTCACAACATATATTGTAAAGTGAATTGACTGTTTATTTGTGGGCGAAACATGGCAGCCAATAGCGCACAGCAGCGCCCCACAAACAAGAGTGGATTGAGTGACCAAATCATAATTATTTTTTAGTCGGATGGCCCGATCATGGGGGGGAAGGAGGAGGGGGTGACCTCTCAGTCCTGGGGCCGGAGGGGGTGAACTAACAGTGCTAGGGAGTGAGGGGCGAGGGAGGGGAGTGACTGCCCAGTGCTGGAGGGACAGAGGGTGGGGATGATCACCTGATGCTGGGAAGTTGGGTTACTACCCACTGCTTTGTCTCCACAGATTTTGCTTTTGGATGAAGCGACTGCTGCGATCGACACGGAAATGGAGGTGTTGATTCACAAGACCATTCAAGAGGCCTTCAGTGACTGCACGACTCTGGTCATCGCCCATCGCCTTAACACGGTGCTCAACTGTGACCGGATCATGGTGATGGATCAAGGAGAGGTGAGACAGTTGCCTTGCAAAAGCCACCCTAACATCTGGACCTGAATGGGGCACGAGCCCCTGGTCTGTTTTCCCGCCCCCAACATACTGCATGACCTCTGATTGATCTAAAAGATGCCGTGACGTTGCGTTACATCGCTGCATTTTTTTTTACCTAGAGGTACAGAACGCCAAAGGTCAGATGAAACATGAGGCCAGTCAGGCCTGTGTTACATTGATGGATATTGTGGTCAGTCGTCCATAAGAATCACTTGTGTTAGATACTGGAGGCTGTGAAAATTGAGTCAAGTACCTTCAAGAAACCAGAGGGAAGGGGTTTGGGGTGTGTGTGTGTGTGGGTGGGTGGTGGGGCGGGGGGGGAATGGGGGAATTATTATGTTAGAGGTAAGGTTCGTAGCTGATTTATTCAGAAATAACTGCAAGTGAGGTTTCTCTTTAAGGTTCCCGATACCCAGGGGTAAATGAAACCTTTCCGTTCTCTTGTCAGATCGCTGAGTTTGACAGTCCCTCTGCCCTGCTAGCCAACGACAGCTCGCAATTTCGTGCCTTGCTGACCGCAGCGGAGAGCAGGTTACCACAGCCACCGTCCAGCGGGTAATGCCCACCCACCAGGGGGTAGCCCGGTGGGATTGCAACAAGACCTGCCCGTTCTCTCCCTCCCCCATCCCCCCCACACACTCCCCTTCCTCTTCCCCCAGGGGTGTCCGTGTGGGTGCAGGCTGCTCAGAGAAACCTTCTCACAATCACAACAGGAGCGAAGAAGCGAGCGTGAAGAAGCTTCATGGATAAAGAAAGTTTCTAAAGTTTTTTTAAAAAACTTTTAAGATGAACGTTCTTATTTATTATATCCTACAGAGAAACTTTGAACACTGTGCAAACACTGTGCGAACGCCAGTCATTTGCACAGCATGTAATGTATTTCAAAGGACTCATACATGTAGTATTTATCTTGATGGTTCGTGCTCCAATGCAGCTCCACAGTTCAGGGGAGCTAGGAGCGGAACAGATCACTGCAAACATTCAAAACAGGTGCTATAACCTCTGTTGTCGTTTCTGGGGGGAAAACAAATCATTGGTTGGATTTGCTCATGCCAAAGAAACTGTCGTTGGGTTGACCGGGGAAGAACGAAGCTCACAGCAAAGGGACGAGAAGCTTTTATGTTTGTGTTGCCCAAGCAAATTGAAGGCGTTGGGAGGAAGCGATGAAGTCATTACAGAGAAAAATCATTGGTGCTTTCATCTGCGCTAAAACCAGTGCATTTCTTTGTAGCCTCTTTGTCCTCAGTGGGTAAAGGGTCCCAAATCAAATGGACGGTTCTTGGGTTTGGCTAAACGATATTTAAAAGGGACAAGGCCATTATAAGTGAAGGGCAAGGCATTGCGCTCCTTTTCGGGTCATGAAAGAAAATCTTGGGTTCTGTTTAACGGTGCAACAAACACCGTGAAATTATTTGCTGATATTAATCCCCGAAGGAGTTAAGTGGCTGTCTTCCAAGTCGGTCAAAAGTCGTGGGTGGGGGAGGGAGGGGCTGAATTTTTTTTAAGAAGTGGCAAGGCCGCTTAAAGGGAGGAAAGGGTGTGGAGCTGCTTTCAACAACAACAAGATTACATTTGTATAGAAATCACTATTCTGTTAATGCTCGTCACAAACATTTTTGGGTGTTGATTTTTACTTTTATTATGTAACTATGGCTATTCTCGTCAGAAGATCAAATGAACGATTGCGAGAAACTAACACTTACTAGTGACCAAGAAGCCTTCAGCCCTGTTCTGTTTCTTCTGTCCTGTTTCTCCACGCATCAACCCTCAGCTGATATTCGTCTAGTTTCCAGGTCTAATTTATAACCATCGCTGGTCTGATCTTGTCTCCATTCTTCCTTCCTTCCTTCTCCTGTTGTCACACTCCACTTCTCAATAGAACGCTAAAGATGACTCCAAAAGGATAGGAAGAGCTCAATGATCACAAATCCACAGCACAGGCACAGGTTGAGGATCTGATTGCCTACAAGGGCTCTCTGCTTTCAGTCTCACTGATACTCTGTGCTTCTGTGCAATTCCTTGTTGAGTCCAAAAGTGAACTCCTGATTTGTCGGTCACTACAAGTGGATTGTCCCAATGTGGTCCCTTGTGCTAACGCTGGAGGACAATCAATGTATCCCATTCACCTCTTTGGTTGGCCAACAAATAAATGTTTCTTGATTGAATATGTTTTTGATTTACGTCATAAGTCTATGCTATTTTGCTATTTCTGGGATTTTGTTGGTCAACCAACCCAAACAGTTGGCCACCGCTGACATAATTAGCTCAGGTGTTTTTTGTTCCATCACCTTCTCTTTAAAGCCATAATAATACGATCAGGAGATGTGTGCAGATGGGTGAAGAGCCTTTCCCCTTTAAACCTTCTGAACCAGATGCTTCCTTAATATCCGTGCAATGAATTCTGAAAAGATACGCTTGTAGCTCATCCGACTAAACTGAGCTTGGTACAGCCTGCTGAATGGTACATCAATTAATATTATCGCAAATACCCTCTTGTCTGACTGCCAGCATGTTGGAAAGGCTTTAAGGGTGATGTACATGGTGCAACATAGTGGGACAGAGAGAGATTCAGCAACCTCATGGGTTCCTGCCTCGTTTGACGCTTTTGAGGCCAAGTGCTGTTCCGTGACCCACTCAAAGGCCCACACTCGAAGCTCAGTGTTTCAGTACAGAACAGCAACCATTCTCGTAACCTAAGCCTCCTTGAATGTAAAATGACAGTTTTAAAATCTAATAAAGATATTTTTATACACCTGTGGGGTCGCATTGTGTTTTTTGCTCCCCGATTGCTCCATGCAGCAGCCAACAATCCACTCAGGTTAAGTTGGTCACTCACTTCACAGCTGTTTGTGGGACATTTCTGTGTCCCCACATTGACTGCTGCGTTTGCCTATGTAACAGTCATTATAGAGTATATTTCGTCCACAACAACAGCAAGATTGCATTTATAGAGCGCCTTTCACGTCGGGAGGACGTCCCAAGGCGCTGGACAGTTGGGTTGGGACCTGAGCAGGGGGGAAATGGTCAGGGTGAGGGGAGGGAAAGGAGGGAGCGAGGAGGGGGTAGAGAGTCGAGAGGGGAGCTGAAGGCACGGTCGAAGAGAAAGGTCTTGAGACCGGCCCTGAAGGAGGAAAGGGAGGAAGCGGCGAAGGCACTGGGGATAGAGTTCCAGAGCCTCGGGGCTGAGAGGCTGAAGGCCCGACCACCGATGGTAGGGCGGTTGGGGCGGGGGATGTGGAGCAGACTGGAGCCAGAGGAACGGAGGGTACGGGCAGGTACGTGGAGGTATAGTAGGTCGGAGAGGTAGGAGGGAGCGAGGCCATGAATGGCCTTGTAGGTGAGGATGAGGATCTTGAATTCGATCCTCTGGGGGATGGGGAGCCAGTGGAGGCGAGCGAGGGTGGGAGTGATGTCGTTGCGGTGTCTGGTGCGGGACAGTACACGAGCTGCAGAGTTCTGAATGACCTGCAGTGTGGAGGGAGGGCCGGGAAGGCCGACGAGGAGAGAGTTCCCATAGTCCAGCCTTGAGGTGACAAAGGCGTGGACCAGAGTTTCAGCCGCGTGAGGGGTGAGGTAGTGCCGTAGTCTGGCAATGTGCCGGAGGTGGTGGAAGGCAGTGCCAGTTGTGGCGCGGATATGAGGAAGAAAGGACAGCTCAGGGTCGAACAGAACACTGAGGTTCCTGATGGCTTTGAGAGGTGGAGAGTGCAGCCTTGGATGCTGACGCTGTCAGCGCCTGAGGTGCGGAGGCGCTGACGTGAGCCAATCAGGAGGGCCTCAGTTTTGCACACGTTGAGCTGAAGAAAGTTGTCTCTCGTCCAGGACTCGATGTCGGACAGGCAGCTGTCAGGACATCGGGGGTCGTGGAGTTGAGGGTAGAGGAGGAAAGGTAGAGTTGGGTGTCATCCGCATACATGTGGAAGTTAACCCCATGTCTGCAAATACAAATACACAGTCAATCCACTTTACAATATATCCTGTGAAGAGCTTTGAGATTTCCTGATATAAAAGGAGCTATTTTGAATGTAAAGTTTATTATTACAACAAATTACATTTATATGGTGCCTTTCACGTCGGAAGGGGGTTGGACGGTTAAGGGTTTGCAACCAAGCTGTGGGCTTGGAATCAAGAGGGGGCGGGGGGGTGCAAATGCACATTATTAGCTGATAGTTGCCTATTTTCTAGGTTGTGCTGATGATTTGTGGCCTTTGCTTACCTTGTGTGTCCACTTTTCTTGTTTCCTGATTTTGCATTTGCCTACATAACCTGTAGGGGTTTACATGTTTATTATTTGTCCTCTTCATCCTATGGTTTGGATATTCATATCGATTAAGGTGGGTGTAAAAGCACTTGCTCTGCTGTTGCCTTGTTATTCCTGCTTTACATCCTCCTCCTTATCCAAGTTTATTAATAATAATAATTTAGCCCCAAAAGGCTACTCTGTTCGTTATTGCCTTTGTTAAATGTTCTACAATCTTAAATATGAATGGTTCGATTATTGACCGATATGTTTAAAAAACAGTCGTGGTACAACCTTTTACTGTGACTATTCAAAAACATAGTTTACCCCTCACCCCTCCCCCTTTCCAATAATAGCCGTCGCAGCCAGGGAGAAAGCAACATCGCTGCCAGCAACAGTAGGAATCCTAGTAATAATCCTTGCAATTGATATTGCATCTGTCATGTCAAAATCCCTCAAAGGTGCTTCACGTACTTGCTGTAAAGTGTGATTGTGTTTACAGGCAAACACAGCAGCACCCCGTGTCACACAAACAATCTGGAAATGAACGGCAAACTTATCCGGACAATTGTTGGCCAGGAGAAACGACCTTCTCGAACAGGGCAACACTCACCTGAACAGGTAAGCAGGACCTCAGTTTCACGTCTTGATCGCTGATGGGACCTCTGAAAGTGCAACTCCCCCAGTTCTGCACTGGAGTGAATTCAACTTGACTGGAAAAACGACGAGTCTGCTGAAGACTGGAGTGTCATTTCTCCACTGTATTCGTAAGAGAGCGAGATAACGATTCTGTATTATTTTTCTAAAAATATTTTATTAGATTTTGTAACAACATTTTGCAGCTTATGTCGTTATGTGACCAAAGCTATTCTGGGTTTCCAAAGCTGAAGCAAGGCATTTTCCCCACTCTCTCTCCACTTGCACCAGCCAATGAGACAATAACAGGCAACAGAATTATTTCTACTAAGTGGTTTAAAAAGACAAAGCAGATGTGCGCTGCGGGAAGGTTATTTTGTTTTAAAGTTTTCAGCTCTCACGCCTGCGCTCAGCGCTCCTCATTCAGATACCAAGAAGCATCCTCAGTGGCATTTCCTCCGATCTTCCTCCATATGGGGAAGTTATTAGCAATGTTAGCCACTTTCTCTTCCCACCTTCTTCCCGACAGGATGTTTAAGATCAGGAATTTCCCCACCCACTGCCTGATCATGTGAAACAGAAAGACAAGATCTGGGAAGCAGCCAAAGGAAGGGACATATCGGAAATGTTAACCTGTCCTTTCTGCATCGTTTCATACATCTTTTGTTTGCAAGTTGCAATTTTCTGTTGATAATATCAATAATAATAATAATGCTTGTATTTGATAGCGCTTTTCACGTCTTCTAGACGTCTCAAAGTGCTTCACAGAATAGATTGTAAAGTGAATTGACTGTATATTTTGTGGGTAAAATGCGGCAGCCAATTGTGCACAGCAGTGTCCCACAAACAGTCGTGGATTTAATGGCCAAATTATTTTTTTTCTTGAGTAAGGAAACTTGCCCAAGGTTTCGCCTGCCGGGAATCGAACCCAGGTTGCAAGGCGAGTGCTCTAACCACTGCGCTACAGGACTTCTGATGTTTGGTTGAGTGCAGAGTGCAGCTTTGTTTGATTCTGTCTGTATCCACTGTGATGTGTATGTCACATGGGAGTAGATGCAACACAAGCAAAGTTGACGTTCCTAGCAAATTGCTTTTCCTTCCGATCTGTCCTCCCAAGTGTCCCCTGATATCGTACACTGAATAATAGAACCAGAGGACACGCTCTGCGATTGAAGGTGGGTAAATTCAGAACAAATCTGTGGAAAAACTACTTCTGTGAGTGAATAGTAAACGTAAGGAATTGGATCCCAAGGGAGATGGTATAAGTAGAAAATGTTGTTTGCTTCCAGAACAAATTAGATACATTTTTTGCAGGAAAATAATATCTCGGGATACAGTTTGGGAAATGATAGGTCAATGACTGCCCTGCTGGAAGTCAGCAAAGTCAGTACATACTATGATTCCAACCTGAGGCCCATTGCTGGAGGTTGTGGAGAAATGATTAACTTTAGGATAAAAATAACCCAAGTGAGCAAAGAATGGCCAGACTGAGGTGTCTGGTCTGAATAAGATTCTGGGTTGGCTTTGATCCTTGAAGAACTTGGAACAGCTTTGTCCCAAAACTCTATTCAAATAAAATTTGTTTCCAGAGGGTTTTTTTTCTAGAGGAAGATTCAACCTAACCATAGTTTAGAATCATAGAATATTGCAGCGCAGAAGAAGGCCAATCAGCAATAAAACAATCCTGTACTGCACTCTCTAAAAGATCTACCAATTTAGTCCCACACAACCTGCTCTATCACCATTATCCTTGTATATTTTTCAAATATTTTCCCTTTCAAAACTTATGTATTCTGCTTCAACAACAATTTCTGATTGTGTATTCCATGTCCAAATAAACCTCGGATTAAAACATTTCTCCTAATCTCTCTCTGTTTGTTGGTGATGAATTTAAAAATATGACCACAAGTGACCCACTCACCAACCAGTGGAAATAGTATTTTTTTCCTCTCTCGAGCTACCTTATCAAAGGTCTTCGTGCTTTAGGATTGTACAAGTGTCTGTTTCAATAACAAAAAAAAACAAGCCAAGTGAATTTTGTAGCATAGGGAGAGTTATTAGGAGGTCTTAAGGACTGACTCTCAATCCGTGCTGTAAACCTAATGCCAATTTAATGTTCTGCGATGAACGTAAGCTTGGGCTCCTGTGATCCCAGGTGTGTGCCCCTAATTTCACTGGATCATGAAAGCACCAAAATATGTAGATTCATCATTAACATCCACAACACTTGCATCTGTTACCATCATGAACAGTTTGTCCCCTTCCTCCAGTTGAAAGAGGGCACCCTGATAGCTCGTGTAGAGGTCAAACATACCCTCTTTAGACCAGCATCTGGTGAACACAGATTTTGTTAAAAGAATGGGATCATAATAGGAGCTGGTTTTCTTGTAAATGTACTGAACAGAGGGATTGTCGCGATGATTGACTGCTTCTCGCCCTGGTATGTGCCTTAAGTACACCTTGGCATACACATAGTAGAGTCCGCTCTTGAGAATGGACATTTCTCCCTCATGGTATTCTATGGAACTGTGTCGCAGTGCAAGTCCTTTGTTGTCTTCCCAGTAAAGGACCTCGTGTCCAGCTCCATGGCCAAGGTAAGATGATGCTGTCAGCAAAAATAAGAGTTAAAAGCATTAGATCCATGGAGATGACAGCACAAAAGGAAATGCATTTGGTTCATCAATTGGCATTTGGTCACAGGGATGCAAGCCTCCCTGTCAGAACATCTTAATACATCGACATATTTTATCTTAAAGAGGGAGCAGGCTTACAGCCCCAGACCTCTTGGTTCCAAGACATTACTCTCTCTTATAGGGAAATGCTTGGTTCTCACTTGGTGCCTCCCACTCTCAGGAGAACAGCTCAACACATCACAGAAGCTTCTTGTGTGGTACTTTGTCAAATGTTTTTGGAATTCTCAGAATACTAACTACATTGTCCGACATCATGTGCCAAGTTGAGATATCCTCTCAAAAATTATTATTATATTATGGTCTGGAATGCACTGCCTGAAAGGGTTGGTAGAAACTGATTCAATAGCAACTTTCAAAAGGGAATTGGATATGCACTTGAAAAGGAAAAATTTGCAAGAATATGGGGAAAGAACGGGGGAGTGGGACTGATTGGGTAGCTTTTCCAAAGAGCCGGCACAGGCCCGATGGGCCGAATGGCCTCCTGTGCTATGATTCTATGAAAGGGTCCAGAGGCTGATTGATGTAAGCAACCTCGAACTTTTATGCAGAGGCGTTGGTTCTTATTTACTAGGTTATTTCCTTCTGTTCAGTTTTTCCAATTATTAAGTTCAGGTGAATGGATCTTAAATAATCCACGGTTTAAAATCAACCCAACGTGACCTGGGAAAAAAACCACCGGGCAAATCTCGCCAGCGCTCATTACATTCTCCCATTGTAGCTCCTTTTTGGAAAAGCCTGTTGTTGATGGAAGTCAGCACTCGTGAATGGTTTCCTGCAGTGATATCTGCTGTACTTCCCAGCCATGAGCAGATGCCAGCTACACTATAACGTGCCCACAATCTCACTTTACAAACCCCCCAACCCCACCCCTCCCGCAATATAACCGGGGCTGGACTGTATGTGGTTTATTCACGTTCATAAATGCACAGAACAAAGACGTCAGCTGTGAGATTTTGTGACCGAGCTTACCGTTACTTGGTGACAGAGGGTCTTTGCTACGCCGTATAGTTAAGTGAATAGCCGGTGTATCCGAGCCCAGTAAGTACGTGGCGTTGTTGGCTGGCGAGAGATTAAACAAAAACTGTCATGCCACAAAATCTCACGTCTTTTTGAACATGTGAATCTTGTGCATGAATGCACAATTAACACAGCTAACCGCCTACCTGTAATTCTGTAAACCAACGTTAAAACAAATTCACTGCTCTGAGTTGCCAGATGTTAATCTCCCTGCAATCCTCTACCGGGGGAGGGAGGGGGGAATAAAGGGGGAGGAGGAAGGAAGCTGCTTTAAATAAAGGCACGAAAACCATTGGTGATTTTAGGTTTGAGTATCTTTCTATGCCTTTCACACTTCTATTTGATAGGATTATTTCTTAAATTAACTACTTAGCGAGCAAAGGTTCATGTCAAGTCACATAAATGTTATATTCCCACCTCTTACCAGCAAACCCTCAGGCTTTCTCCTCTCTGTTAGCATTTGTTTTTTTTCCTTCTAGTAAAATAAAGTTCTAGAGGCACCAATGCCATGCAAATTTTCAAGACTGAGGTGGATAGATTTCTGTTAGGTTAGGGTATCAAGGGAGATGGGGCAAGGGCGGGTGATTGGAGTTGAGGTATAGATCAGCCATGATCTTATAGAATGGCGGAACAGGCTCGAGGGGCTGAATGGTCAGTAGACCTATGTTCCTATGTTCCCTCTGGTTCCTCACCCAATTGGCTTTCCTTCATGTGAACTGTGAGTGTTGGCAAGCTAATCACCTTGCTTGTGCTGAGGCTGATCCTGATCTTGCCTTCACCCAAGATGTATTTACACACACGACTATTCATATATATATATATGTGTGTCTATATATATATACACACACACATACACACCCAATTTCAGTGTTTTCTCAATAGCGTTCAAGAACTAAGCTTCCCTCATTGCCTTCGCAGTGTCTTACATTGTACAGAACAACGTAACTCCATGTATTTAACGAGTTCCATGGTTGATCATGCTGTGGAATTCTCTCCCTCAATCCCTCCACCTTGGTCCTTCCTTCTCCTCTTTTAGACCACATCCGAAGACCTTCCTCTTCGACCGTGCTTACGGTCACCTCCTCCTTCCCCCCGGCTCTGCGTCAGGCTCTAGCTTTGCTAAGTGCTCTGAGACACTGGCCCGCGTGAAGGGCACTATATAAATGCTAATTGTTGTTGACACTGTGACATGGGGCTGACTTCGACTACACTCTCGCTCAGCCTGCGGGCTCACCAAAAATAATTCACTCTCTTCAGCAAACCTCACCTTTCAGCTCCTGGTAGATCATATCTTTCACCTTGAACTGCAGACGCTGAAACAAAAAGCAGAACCATGTTCAAATGTGGCCTTCCACTCCAAGGAAATTACAAGAGAACATTTATATTGGATTCAGCGACCGATGTGTTGAAGGAAATTTTGGGAAATTCTTGTGGGTAGGCTTGATACAGGAACGTTAAACTCTTAGGTGAGATTATATGTTACCATCCTGTACCAGTGCTTGTGAAGAAATACTTACCCAACTCCACATACAAATCACTGCAGAATTCCTCATCGCAAGAGAGAGCTATTTGGGACTCGGAGGCAAGCCGTGTTTCACATGTCTTACAGACATGTCTAATCTGTCTCTAAAGCTGCTGTGAGACACGATCACTTTGTGTTTGCAACGTGAAAATAGGCAAACAGATCTAACTTTTTTTTATTAACTAGGCTGACAGTAAAGTGCATTGAACAGAACTTTTTGGCATGTTTGACCAGCATCCTGGCTTCAACCACCTTCCTAGTGACCCATTCCAGTTAAGTACCTCTGTGTAAAGAAATACTGTAGCACTCCATTATAATCCCCAGTTGGGATCCATACATTTTTTTTCCTGAGAAGTCTAAAGACTTTCAAGTTGAACCACTTTATTTCTGATAATACTAACACAAATGGAATGCTAAATGGCAGAGCGCTTACCTGGTTGATTAGAAACCTGATGTTGTTGAGCCATCTGTCACATCCAAGATCTTCAATGCTCTCTTCAAAGTCTGACGGATCACCAGTGTATGTGTTCAGGTATTTCAGGCACCGTCCTGGAGAACTATCAACATTCACCTTCTGCTTCATCTGAATAACAAAATATTTCAGTATTAATTCACAACATCTCATTTTTCTTTGTTTTTTTTTGCTTCATCTCCTCATCTCCTGCAGGAGCCTTAGCCCAATCCAGCAGATGCCAAACCCCACTCTGGGACCTCACTCCAGTGGCCATTCTCAATCCGCGAGACGAAACAGTGTGAAATGTTCTGTTGCTGCATCCTGCCAAATATCCACACATGCTCGCTTTTCTGTGGGAGTTACTTATTATTTTCCCTTAACCCAAGGTTAGGTTAGGTTACTTTGATGACAATAGGCATCGCAAAATAGCCTGGGGATCAAACAGTAGTAATCCTTATATTTGGTAAAAGCGCCTTTCACGTCGGGAGGTCATCTCGGAGCGCTTCACAGGATAATACTTTGTAAGTGTGTAAGATAATAAGTGATTGTATATTTTGTGGGCAAACCGGCAGCTAGTTGGACAACAGTGTCCATCCAACAAACAGCCATAAAGTAAATGACTAATTTTATTTGGGGAATTGCTGGCCAGGACACTAGGAAAAATTGTAAACAAAGATGGTCTTATTTTATTTATATATATATATATAATTCTTGCATTTGATATAGCGCCTTATCATGTCTACGAGACGTCTCAAAGCGCTTCAAGAATATACCTTAAAGTGAATTGGCTGTATATTTTTTTGTGGGTGAAGTGGGGCAGCCAATTGCACACAGCAGTGTCCCACAAACAGTCGTGGATTGAGTAACCAATTTTTTAAAGAGGAATTATTACCCCCAGAAATGTGATCCACCAATCGACTAACAAGCGGGTTCCTGCTTACTGTTAGGTAAACAACGATGTGTAGAGTAAGGAAACTTGCCCAACATTTTGCTCTGCCGGAAATCGAACCCAGCTTGCGAGGCAAATGCTCTAACAGCTACGCTACAGGCCCATATATATGGGATAGATTTGTTGCCTGTATATAAATGTCAGTGTACACAGTCTGGAGGTGTTTCCATATTGTTTTCAGTATATACACAAGATGAGAAATTCCTGTATGTGGATTTCAGTGTACACATAGTCTGCCTGTCTATCCAACATCCACCACATTGCTGTGCGCAATTGGCTGACGCGTTTCGCCCACAAAATACAGTCACTACACTTGGCAGTATATTCTGTGAGGCGCTTTGAGACGTCTCAACAACTTGGTAAGGCGCCTTATCAAATGCAAGGATAATTATGATTATATTATTATTATTATCATTATTATAATATCGATATCAGTGTACACACAGACTAGGAGTCTGTCTGTGTAGATTTCAGAGTGCACAGAGTGGAACTGTGTGGCTGTGTGGATTCCCCTGTGTTTGTACATCCCTTGAACAAGAATAAATTGTTCCCTGAAACCTCACCCTTATTGGCACTCTGCCCAGCTCTGACTGCCTGCACACTTTCGTTTTCGTTTCAGAACCACTTTTATTTTGTTCTTTCTCTCTTCTCCCCCTCCCTCCCTCCCTCCCTCCCTTCCTGCCTGCACCATTCCCACAGAAAGAATTAAAACTCTTAACTGCGTCTCTGATCCCCCCCCCCACCCCCCCACCCCGAAAAAAAACTTTTTGCAGAGATCCAAAAAGTCGACAAAAACTTCCTGTACGCAAAAAAGAAAAAAAATCGGTTCGAACTCGACTTCTGTAGTTGGGGATTTCTTGCTACTTTTCTACTTTAAACAAAAATCGATTCCTCCACCAAAAAAAAAATCAGGATATTAGGAATATTTGTGTTAAACCTCCAGTGCAAGAGACAGACAGCAACAGCGCAAAAAAGTTTCAGTGTTCACATCAATTGCATCGCTTAAAATTGGGAATTTTTCTCGATCCCCCTTCCTTACCTGAGCCATCTGACGAGTGAATCGTAGGAAGAAATAAAAGGCTGTGGAGGTCTGCAGACAAATGATTAATCCCAAAATCAGGACAAGTGCTCTCCACTTTCTGTTCTCCGAGTCTGTGATTTTCTCACTCAGTTTTTGGTAGCTGTAATCCACCAGCATTGACGAGGACATCTTTCCTTCCTGATCCATGTTATTTTTTTTCGTTCCTCACCAGAGAACGTCTGCACACATCACTTCCCCGCCCCCACCACCCCAGCTCTGAGCCAAACTGGTGGGAAGTCCCCGGTTGCCTCTGTCAGCAGCCTAAGTGACACGCAAGCGGTTTGCAGTTACACCCAGTTGACAGTGGGGTTTTCCTGGCAGTGTTTCTAACAACACCCAAATATTTTGCACCCAAATAATCTTGAATAAATACACCTTGTCAAAAGCCCGCGTTTAACCGCTCCTGCCTGAAGGCTGCTGTAGATAAATGCAAGTTGTTGTTAATTGATGTCTGTGTTAATAATAATAATAATAATAATCCTTGCATTTGATATAGCGCTTTTCACGTCGGGAGGACGTCCCAAAGCGCTTCACGGAACACACTGTAAAGTGAATTGACTGTATATTTTTGTGGGCGAACGCGGCAGCCAATTGCGCGCAGCAATGTCCCACAAACAGTCGTAGATTGAAAATGAAACAATTTATTATTGTTTGGGTTTTTTTTGAGGGATTATTATTAGGCTCTGTGTGGAGTAAGGAAACTTGCCCTGACCTGCCTGGAATTGAACTCAGGTCTCTCGCGTGCAAAGCGAGTGCTCTAATCACTGAGCTACACGACACCACGAGCTACAGGACTCCACCAATCATTGGTGATTGACGCTGGCTGTGCTCAGAGCTGGGAGTGAAGTGGCTGGAAGTTCTCGGTTCAATTTTGACCCCTTAACCCCGTACCATCTTTGCCGTTCTCTCCCTACTCGGTGGGAGCTAGCCTGCTTCATGTTCCCCCCCCCCACTGAACTCCACCCTGCGGTTGGGCCTTTAGCTTTTCTGCCCCCACCCTCTGAACTGTATCATGGAATTCCTCCACCTTGTCCACCACCACCCCCCCCCACCTCCTTGCCTTCACCAAGCCCCGTCTCAAGATCTTCCTCCTTGACTGTGCCTTTGGTCATCCCTTCACACCCATCCACCCTTGCCCTCCAACCCTCATGACTCCAACCCGTACCTCGGGTGCAAATCCTTGATTGTCCTTCTGACATGAAATATAATGTTGTTGCTGTTAGATAGGTCCTGTGAGCCAGGGAGCAGTATAAGCTAGGGCTCGTCAGTATTGAGAGAAGGTAACTCAGAGGGACCTCATTGAGGTGTGTAAATGGGATTGATACACTGTATTATTGGTGATTGACGCTGGCTGTGCTCAGAGCTGGGAGTGAAGTGGTTCGAAGTTCTCGGTTCACAAAAAAATTGATCAGAAAAGTAAAATGTCCTTTTCAATGCTGTTGGATTACAGCTATCAGAAGCTCAGCCAGAAACTTACAAATGCCAAGAGCAGAAAGTGGAGAGACATTATCCTGATTTGTGAATTTCTCTTCTTTCCTGCTGCCAGTGACACACCTGACATTACTTTTCTGGGTTTACTTCCTTTATCCCATTACATCATTAGATTTTACACATTTCTGAGGTCAACGATAAATGTATAATGCAAATTGTTGTCGGGTCTCTTTGGAGACATCTGTTTTCAAGGTTGAATGGCCTTAAGATCATATTTCTTATAGTTGGCTCGCAGTGGAGGTGTTAAACATATAACATGAATCAAAGCTGATTCCCTAGCTCTGAGGTGCTCCGACAAATATTAGCATTCCACTGCATTCCCGTTTGAGATCAGCTAACAGCAAAGAATGAGATTCAAGCTTGGAACCTTCTGGTCTGTATGGTTTAGTCCCACAGCTCATGGTGCCATTCTCAGCCAGACAATCATACTTCAAATAGTAATATTATTTATAATTATATTTATTTATTTCATGAAATTTTACTTTATCGAATAATAATTTGGTGCACTCAATCCATGACTCTTTGTGGGACACTGCTGTGCTCAATTGGATGCCATGTTTCGCCCACAAAATATACAATCAATCCACTTCATAATATATTCTGTGAAGCGCTCTGAGATATCTCAACGATTTGATGAGGCGCTATATCAAATGCAAAGATTATTATATCTTTTAACAAAAACTACAGGATCATACTGAATTTCTTCAGAAGGACAAGGCTGTGATCCACACAAATCAACTCTACTGTATTGTAATAATTTTTAAATTCTCCGATTTCCCACTTTGTCCCTCTGCCTCAACTGAGGTACCTTTTGCTGGTCTCATGTTATCCCAACCTTATCTTAACTTACTGAATGATGTGTGACTGCACAGCCTAAAATTGCAAACCGAGAGAGACCAATTCTTTCTGATCTTTGTCACTTAGCACTTAAAGACTAAGCAAGTGTCAACATGCGTGAGGCCTGTTACATTGCCAAGGCAGGCTCAGTCCAAGAGCACATTGACAGTCTCGGCTTTGCTTTTTTACAGCCATGTGTGTATGTGTATGGATTATGATTTTCCAAAACATTTTCTCCGTAAGATATGGGGTGCAGGCTCAAATCCACCTTTATTTTGTGAGATTCACCCTACACTCTGCGCTCAGAGGCAGAAACTTGCGAGTTCAAACCCCACATCAGGACTTGCTCTTTCTAGACTGTACCTCTGGGGAAGACTGGGGGTAGCGGTGCATTGTTTGAGACGCTGTCTTTCGGACGAAACTTATCTTGCATCTTGCATATTCAAGTGTACGTTAAAGATTCCATGACACTTTTGGAAAAGAAAATATTTTTTCCAGTACCCTGGCCAATGATTCTCCATCCCCCCAGATAAGTCCCCACTTGATGAGTGACTGGAGGATCTTGCTGTGTACGGAAGGCTGCCACATTTCCTTCTAAATACACTTGACAGCAATTACCTGTGCAACGATTTGAGACATTTTAATGTGGCAAAAGATTCATATCAAGTGCAATGATTTGAGGACCGAACCCCATCACTGTAACAAATACAAAATGCAAGTTGCTGTGGTTGTTGTTGAAACTCCTCCCTCAGCGAGTTGCAGATCATCGAGAACTCTGCAACTCGTTTCCTCTCCTGCACTTGGCTTCCGTGACCCCATCACCCCCCCACCCTCACCCGTCTCCATTGGCTCCCCACCCCCTCAGAGGATAGAGTTCAAAATCCTCGTCCTCTCGCCTTCAAGGCCCTCCACGGTTTTGCCCCTCCCTACCTCTGTGACCTGCTGACCCGCTGTCAACCTGACTGACATCTCCTCCTGGTCCCTTGGTTGCTAAGGAGGTTGTTTACCCGTTGCCAAGGCATCTTTGTTGCCTCGCCACATGTGGTTCCCATGACGACACAGTACACACACGAGGTGGCGCCGGGCCATGTGCGGGTTGGGGGAGGGGGGGCTCCTGGTGTTTATTGCTGGGTCTCAGCCTCCCGAGTCTCCTTGGTTGAATCGCCCCTCCATCGCCTGCGGTAGCACCATGGCCAAGTCATAGCAAACGCTGCCTTGGCAACGGGTTAAACAATTCCTTTGCAACGGAGGGACCTGGCAAGAATCCCTCCCCTTCCCTCACCCCCCCCCCCCCCACCACCACACATCACCCCCACCTCACCCCCACCCCAAAAAAAAACAGCAGGAGAGAGAAAAAAAATCAAGAGGATTCCTTCTCCCTTCCACACTCTCACCCCCTCCCTCTCTATCGCTCTCTCTTTCCTGCACTGAACAAATAGAGGCAGGCTACTCACAATGAAAGCTTACCTAGCTGCTTATTCCAAGGAAACAGCCCCTAAAAAGGAAGAGGGAGATGTGAGTAACCTCTTAGCAACTCTTAACAAGTCTTGAGCTTTTCGTTGCTCTGGAGAAGGGGGGTGGGGTGGTGGGGGGGGGGAGAAATACACAAAGTGGGGGAGAAACTCAGAAGAGGTCAATGAGACAAGTCATTTGCATCTCATTTCAGTGCAAATTCATCCCATTTAATAATAATATTATTATTAATTAAATACTAACTACTCCCCCTCCCTCAAGTTTTAGCATCTTCTGGTCACGATCGGGTTAATGTTTTCACTGATCCCACGCTGTTTCTATCCGGATAACACCTTCCTTGCAGCACAGTTGGGTGATGGTGGGTTTGGGATGGAGAACAGGGCACAAAGTTCCGCCTGCAAACATTGTAGATGATGCTATCAATTACAACCAGGGAGGAGACAATATATCTTCGTGGAGGGAGGCGTTTCTGCTGGTGCTAACTCAGCCGCCACTTACAGCAAAGGATTCCAATTGCTCTGGGTGTGAACATCTCCAACCTCCTCATTCCTTCTCTCCAGGGACAATCCTGATGTTATACTGGGCTCCAGTTTTTTTTGGGCTGTTGCTGATTGAACAGATCAGGAGGAGCAACCTCTTACTCTCTGTTCTTTACCCTTGTTGAAGATGCATATTAGACCCGCTCTCAAGCTTCTCCGGCAAATTGAAACAACCTAGCTTTTACTTCAGCCTACTCTTATCACTCTAACCTCTTGTCCTTGGTACCATCTTTGTGAATCTACGTTGTAACCTTTCCATGACTCTCGTGGTTTTTTTGTAATGGAATGCCCAGAACTGCAAGCAGTAACCTAAACTTGCCTTGCTTAAATTGTCTTGATTTGCTTTTGTACTCAATGCAGAATCTTAATTTGGCTTTTTATGGCCTTTTTACCCACAGACGGATTTTTATAGATCGCTGTATCTGCATTCTCAGATCTCCCGCTTCCTCAACATCCTCAAGAACTTTACATAACACAACATATAATTTAATAAGACTTGCCTTTAATAAAGCACCTTATCACGTTGTCAAGATGTCTCAAAGCGCTTCACAGAACTTTGCTGTGAAGTGTAGTGACTGTATATTTGTATCCCCAGGTCACCAGGAGAAACTCCCTTTTGTTTACCATTTAGAGTATAATTTTTGTCCCTGGTCATTTTCCCCAAATGTACCTCTGGACTTCACAGTTTTCGGCTGTAACGCTGTTCTCGGTGAAGGCCATTTTTCAGTGAAGTCACTTGCTAGAGGGTCAATAAGGTGCTATATCAAATGCAAGGATTATAATTATTATTCTTCAGCTGGACACTTGCACCGCTTCATCTTATGGAACAACCAAACTCACTCGCACTTGTAAAGCAGATTCTAGGCAAGAATGAGACAGAGTAGGAACTTTTCTGTTGATTTCTCACACAGG